ATTGCAGTTTTTCTTGTGCAGTGTTTGCATTGCATCTGTTTTTTAGTGGGAAAAATTATTTGCATTGAATTGAAATTAATGCACATTAACCTCTATGGATAATAATTTCTAAGATATGGCTCACACATATTTAAATAAAATTTGAACGAGTGTGTTTGATTGAAGTTTTTCGGGAATGAGACTAAATTAAATTACTCATACTTCTATCTATGTAGGTTCAGCAAGAGCACCAGACTATGACTATGAGTCTATGACTACATTGACAGAGAAAAGATAAAAACTTGATGTAGTTGTCACTTGTGTGATTTTGGGAACATTTGTCTCTATTGATCACCCCTCTTATTTATGGTTGTGGGAAGATAACTTTCTTAGAAAACCGTCTGTTGGATAAATCCCCCCAAAAAAAAAACTACTCCCTTCTTCCTTGGACGTGTCTTCCAACGTGGAATGAGTGACAATTTCTCCCTCAACCGCTGCGATAGTCTGAAGGCTATCACCGGCTACAATTCGGCGACCAGTGGCAATCCTCAACTTTTATTTTTCTTTTTGATGATGAGGCTTCCTCTGCCCATCTCACTGATGTCTGGTTTCTTTTTTCAGTTTGCTTCTTCTGACCTCCTTTCAGAAGGCAAAAACGTAACCTACTCGTCATAGATGCCGAAATGAAGTTTATGGATCAAGAAGGCGGGGTAGCATCTTCCTGAAGCTTGTCAGTCTTCTTCTACTTCATCATGGTGGATCTGGTCTCCTTCTTTTCTTGGGTTTTGCAGGTCTCTCGCGTGTACCTGGGTACCTTGTCAAGCCGTCAATGGGCTAGCACGACACAACGCGGTTAAAGCACGACATGAAAACGAGAACGAGCATGGGAACAAAATATATGGGCTAGCCTGACACGAACACGAATAATTTATAGGTCATGTTTGGTCTAATTTTTTTGAGACTCTATTGAGTATAAGCACGACATGACACAAAAGTACTTATTTTTTTAGAAAATAAATATAAAGATAATTATGAATTCAAATATTACAAAATACAACTATAAAAGTATTTATTTATTGTTGTTAGAAATAATCATAAAAATATTTGATATAATTACTACCATAAATAAAATTGATCGAAGAATTAATAAAACATGTGGATGCCAAATCATATTTGTTAAATTTCTCAAACATTCTCCATTAATACTTTCAATCTCCGTCCAATTTTCTCCTTCTTTTTCATTTTATTTTTATTTTCTTTCTTTTCATTAAACATGAATATGGCTCCCTCGATACTGGATGAGTATTATACATCTGTCTGTGAAAGTGATTAAGATGGTGGAAAAGATTTGCTCTGACTTTTTATGGAGTGCTGAGGATGAAGGGGGAAAAACTAAGGTGATTTGGAGATATGTGGCTTTGCCAAAGAAAGAGGGTGGTTAGGGTTTAGGGATGTCAAAAGCAGGAATGTTGTTTGCCTCATTCGCCATCTTTGGGCTACCTGTTCAAACTTCTCTTATCTCTGGGCAACCTGGGTTAGACATTATCGGCTCAATAACCGAGTTTCTAGATCATCTTTTCTTCTCTTGCTCTTTCTCCACTAGTATTCTCCAAGCAGTGTTTAAATCTCCAAGTTTATCAGCAAGACATTGGTCTGCTTCTCTAGTTGTGGCAGTTACTATGTTCAAGAATGATAACCCAAGTTATAATCGAGGAAGATTATTATGGATGATTGTAGTTATTGAGCTTTGCTTTAAGAGATGTCGAAGATTAAATGTTGAAAGTAAACTCAGTGAAGCTCAGTTTCTTATGAAACTTCAAGATCTGTTGAAAGCAAGTTGTACTCAGGTTGTTGCATGTGTTTCTTATAGTGATATTAGTTGTATAGTATAAGTCAGTTGTACGGTTATGATTTGTGCAGTTGTAAAGTTGTGTGGTGTGTTTTGAACTATAGTAGTGTTTGGTGCCAGTTAGGGTGGCTTAATGTCGTCGTTTCGTGATGAATAAACCTGCTTATTAATGAAAATAAAAATAAAATATGAGAATGACACGAGCAAAAAGTAGGCAACACAATTCAAATCGTGCCCGGGCCCAGGTCGAACCTAACAAATATGAAAAATGGATGGCACAACACGCCATGAAATCTAACGGGTCATTCCAAGCACGCGCAAGCGCCCATATACACCATTGCGCTAGTGCTTGGGGGCTCAAAATTAACGCTTTTCTGGTCAACGGTTTGGGTTTACCTTAGAAATTCATGTGGAGTCTGACAGGAGGAGGTGCTAACGTTGGAAAATGAAAACTATTTGCCCCACACGAGGTTTGTGAAAAAGCAAGAGTGTGCTCAATTTCATATATGTGGTAATTCCGTCAAGATCTCTTCCTTAGTTGGGGTAATAATTTTTTCTTTCGGATCTCTACGCATTTCACCGCTCCACTAAAAATTCCCTCTTTCGAATGCTTACCTTACAAAATGATCCTAGATCTTATCGCTAAAACATATCAATTGTAAGTTAAATAATTTAATTAAAAAATAAAAAAAATAAAGTTAAGGAATTAAATTAATTTTGCAGTTGGACTATAACTAATAACTCAAAATAAAAGTTAAAAGATGAGATAAATTGTTAAAACTTCCACAAAAAATATGTAAAACCGATACACTAATGGGGATTTAACCAATGACCAGGATGTATAACATTAGCCGCTCCACTAGGGAAAATCACTTCATTCTCAACAAAAAAGAAAAATGCAGATAAAACTCATCAACACAGGTAAAACTCGATCCCCTCCCAAAACTTTGCCAGCAACAGGTTCAACCCGCTTTGACCGGATAGATTGCGCTTTCTTTTTTTGGGTGTGAGAATAGTAATAAAATAAAAATGAAAAAACAAAGAAGCAGATAAAACCATAACGCAAGCATTTTACAAATAGCCCTTCAAACTTTCACGAAATAACAAAAATGACACTCTTTTTCATGACTCTAAAAAATAGTGTTTTGAAACTTGTTCTTTCAAGGTTTTAATTTAATTTAATTTAATTATGTACACTTTGTAGCAACCTCTTTTCTTAAACAAAAACTTCTTTTCTTGAAAATAAAAAATGATAACTTCTATAGACATGACAACGTTTGGTTTTGTGGAGAATGAACCAATCGAGAGCTAGCTATAAAGTAGCCCAGCAGGGTTAATGATCAATATTCTAGTACCATGCTTAAATATTTAGATCATCATAATCACATGCACCTCATGTCAAAACAACCTAGCCACGGTTCTGTGACAATTGAAATAATTGGCGTTGGGAGGATTTAGAGACAGATTAAAAGTGATCTCTAAGCTAACAACCCCACTTAATTAACTAATTAATTACATGTAGAGTTGGATACAATAATTGATGATTGATCCTAGCTAGCTAGCTAGCTAAGCGTTAAAAAGATATGATTAGGGGGAATTAAACTTGGGGCAGAGGAGGGCTGTGAAAAAGGTCAAAAATGTCGGAGTTGTGTCTCCCGGATGCCCGCAAGCTGCAACCAAAGTTGCAAACATTCTGAATCAAGCTGCGATTTCGACTTGGCCCCATTTTCATTCATTATCATTCATCTACAATGGAAGTTACTATTGATCCATGCTATAGCTGCAAATTGGCAATAATGCCTATCTCATCCTCCAGCTAGACTTGTTCTTCCCCCAAAATGAGTCTACATTCATGATAAAATAGCTTGTCTTTGTTTATTGGTCATTCCTCGTCTTAGGTATTTTGGATAGAGAATGATGTTTGCCTCGAGATTTAAACATTTTAGTAAGAGAAAAAAGAAGAGGAATCTAGCTAATTGGTAAGCAAATTCGAACTGTGTTGGACAACACGCGGGAGAAAAAGGTTTGCGAGAATATGACACTGGGCATACGTGAGTTTTTTCCAAAAAGGAACACATGCGATGCTCGTGGTTTCGAGGTGCGCAGGTTTCTACAAAATATTTTGTAATCCTGAATAATTATCGTCCAGGGCGAGCCGATTTCTCCCCCTCTCTGCTCTACAACCACAGAACTAGCAAGAAACCTCATTAAGACATTCAGTAACAATCAACTGCCTTCACCAAGCAAAGCACCTCTTCACCCCCCAAATCTGTGAAGTCGTTGGGATAAGAGGGGTGGGAATTCATTGATTCGACATCCATCACTCCCGGATCTCCTTCCTTTAGCCCTCTTAGAAGGAAAAAAACATGTGGTTTCGCCATTAACAAGCAAAGATAGCATAGGTGATGAGACACATCCCTTAATCCACTTGATCAAACTATTAGAAAACTCCAAAGACTTAGATGCCAAAGATAAGACTATCCCAGTGAACATTATCGAATGATTTTTCGATATCTAACTTAATCACTAAACATGGTTTACTACTCATCTCCTCTTGTCAATAATTCCATTAGCTATTAAAGACCCTTCATGAATTTGCTTGCTAAGAACATCAACACTTTGATTACTAGAGATGATCTTTGACATCACAATCCTCGGCATATCCTAAGAATCTTGGTCATGATAAACTTGTTAAAACCTCCCAACAAGGTTATCCTCAAGTCGCTAAGTTCTTCCACTGCATCCTGTTTCACGCAAACAAATGAAAAAAATGTGCCACACATTGTGGAAGAATTTCCGTGCTATGAAATTTCTTCAAAGGGCTCCATGATATCATGTTTGATGATTCTCCAACAAGCCTTGTAAGAATTCAAAGTGAAACCATCAGGATCTGGAGTTTTATCTCTATCAACTATCACAATCCTTGATAAACTCCCACGCTTCCAACTCAGAGAAAGATCTTGTGCATAAAAGACCTCATAACGGGCGTGTGAAAGAAAGTGAAGACGATAGAGGCAAGGGTAGTAAGTGGTTCTTACCGGCTTACAAACAAGGAGAGGGAGGTGCAACTAACAAATGTACAAGCCAAATTATGAAGTCCTTCAGGGACAAAGCAACGCTTGTCCAATATTTAATAGAAAATTAGGAAATCATGAAGTAAATCAATGAAAACCAGTCATATCCATTAATTTTTCTACGGGAGCTGATCACCATACATAATATTAATGAAAACATTACGAACCGAAACATTTATGTACATTGATCATATCATATCATCACATCTGAGATAATTAAATCTAATCACAACACTACCAAACTCAACAAAATTCCACTAGATGAAGACTAGATAAAAATAATAAACAAAGTCTAGCCAAGAGAGAAAGGAGGAGGAGATACAAATTCACTTTCTGTGAAATCTAACTTCCCATCAATCAAATATTCCCCCCATGCCCCATCTCCCATAACTCTCTCTCTCTCTCTCAGTAGCTATCAGAAATTAAATTAAATTATTATATCTTCTATTCTATATACGTCAATTAATTAATTGAAAATTCTCTGTCCCGGAGAGAGCATCTTCATGGGATCGAACTCGGATTTCCTATGTCGGAACCTTGTCCACTTGGGCCCAAAATGCCTGGCCCACTCCTCCGTCGTGGCGTAATGAGCAAGATACTGCTTCACTCCCATCCCTCTCCCCTCACAGAACTCCACTATCTCCCTGTTCTGCTCCTCCACCTCCTCCCATCCCTCGTGCCCGCTCGAGTGCAAGAACCCCACCGTGTAGAACACATCCTCCTCCTCCGCCGCCGCGGCCGGTATCACCGCCGACGTCCTCTCGTCCCACCTATTCATCACCAACCAAAACACAACACGTCTTAGTACGCAAACATTTTTATCAAATAACTCGAGTCGTTGAGAAAAAAAAACGTGACGAAACGCGTACTTGTTTCGGTTCATTGGGTAGACGAGGACGGGTCCCGTGGTGACGTTCCGACGGAGAACGATGTCCTTGAAAACACCCGAATCGAACTCCGCGATGCGAGATTTGGGCACGAAGAGGTTGAGCCACGGATGCGGAACCTCCCACAGCCCTCGGGACTGGAGCTCGAGTTCCCCACCTCGTACCCGGTCGAGGAAATCCACGTAGGATACGTCTTTGCTGTGCGCGAATCCCGGGACGTAGCTCAGCCCTTGCAACAGTCGCTCCAGCTCCTGTTGTTTTTCCCCAATACATTACTGCCACGTTAGGAACGAATTAAAACGACATAATCATGATCGTGTAATTAGTAATTAATTACCGTGTCCAGGTGGTGGTGGTGGTGATTAGTGTAGGAGTTGATGGCGAGCTCGAGACAGTAGATGACGCGGTGTTGGGCGACAAGGGACACGATCCTGGGGGCGTCGGAGGTCGGGAAAAATGAGGATCGCCAGTGGCTCGGCGGGCCCCCTCTGTCCACCATTACCGAACCTTCCAAATAATCCAATTCCAAATCTAATAATCCTCCTCCATGATTGCGATTACGATCCTCTGATGTGTCGTGTTCTTGCTTCCGGCTTGCATGCACAGTGATGAGTCGCTCCTGGTCGCTTGTGAAGGCGGAGAAGTCGCTGTAGAGCATCCGCACCCACCTCACCTGCACGATTTTCGGTCTCAAGATATTGTTACGTCGTAACGAAAAATCGACAATGCAAGAAAGTAAATAACATTTACGTGACTTAATTACTAACACGATATGTTAGCTAATTACCTTTTCAGGGGCCGGGCGCAAAGCGATGCGGGCCCGGGTGATGATGCCGAACTGGCCCAGCCCGCCGAGAACAGCGTAGAACAGGTCAGCGTTGGTGGAAGGGGAGCAAGTCACGAGCTTTCCTGTCCCTGCGCCACGAAACAACGAAACCCCACCATTACGAGACGGCGGCCGGAACGGAACCACACGGCGGGCGGCCGGCGGGTCATGTTTTTTATTATTTTTATTGTTTTCTTTGTTTGAAGAGAGATGGCGACAACTTAATAACTTTGGAATGAATGCATGTGGGTTCATTAAATTCAACGTGTTTGGCTAATTGGGTACACACTCGATCGAGGGGAGGGTGGCGATGCAATCGAATAAGGGAAACAATAAATGCAAGACAAGACAGAATTTGATTCGGAAGGTACACTCCAATCCATATCGCAATCTTGCTGATCGGAGAGAGAGAGAAGAGAATATGTACTACTGTAGAGGTAGGGCAGCCAGACAAATTGGCATATCTAGCTGAGCGCATTCGTCCATCGTTGGATGGACGTGGTGACGATTTTTTATGAATGTCATCGCATCCATCCAACGAGAAAGCGCATGCACTCTCACAATCTGCCTGCGAACACGAGTTCTCGTGTTCGCAACTCATTAATGAGCTATTGACACGCTAACCTCCACAACACAAACACACGTTTTTTCTAGACTTTGAATAGCTAATAAGGTCTAAAATGGACATTCCCTATGCAGAATCTGAAAGCGGAGACTCATGCAATGCAGTCGTCAACGATACGGTTGATGACAACCACCAAACGGTTGTTTCTTTCCCATCATTTTTTTTTCCCAATCGATTTAACGTGACTTCTAGTCCAACGATATTATCGTAGAAATCATTAATGTGGATTGGGACAGGTGGAGGGAAAAAGTATAGTTGAGTTTTTTTTTTTTTTTTTGCGAGTGTAAAATTTAATTACCGGTGACGACGTCCATTTCATGGACGTTGCTGATCTGAGGGCCGTGGCGGAAAGTCTGGCCGCTGATCCCGGCGTTGGACAGCGTCCCGCCGACGGTCAGGTACAGGTAGTCGGTCCACGACACCGGCGCGACGCCGTGCCGGAGCGCGGCCTCCAGCACGTCGATCCACAGCGCCTCCCCTCCCACGTCGGCGTACGGACCGGGCGGCTTCGACGACACGACGACGTTTACGTTCTTATCGAAACGCGCGCTCCTCAGCCGCATCATGTCGACCACCACGCCGTTCGCCGCCGCCATGGCCTGTCCCCGGACCGAGTGGCTCCGGCCCCTCGCCGCCACCGTGAGGCCCGCCGAGGTGGAGTTGTTGTTGTGGTTGTGGACGACGTTGTAGTCGTACGCGAGGTTGACGAGCTTGACGATGTCGTCGACGGAGGAAGGGTGGAGGACGGCGGCGGGGCGGCGGTGGACGATGTGGCCGTAGTCGGTGGCGGCGGCGGAGACGGCGGTCGGGTCGGTGCGGAGGGTTCCGGCGGGGAAGTGGCGATGATGGTGATAATTATCAAGAAGTGGCGGCTCGACGGCGGGCTGCGGTTTGGAGGTTTTGATTCCTTGGAGGGTGGAGATTAGGCGAGTGATGAAGAGGAGTACGATGAAATATGTTGGCATGGTGAAACTCTCGGCGGCCATGATTCGATGGAGACGAGAAATGGGATAGTGTAAAAAATAATTGGGAGATGAGAGGGAGAAGGAAGAAGGAGGATGGGGTGAGAAGATTAGGCCAAGGAGAGGGATATATATAGAGGGAAAAAGTTTAGGCAATATCGTATTAATAGAGTAATTTCGTACAATATGATAGGTTGGACGGTATTTTAATAAAATATAAACTTAAAAAAGGGGTTTAGAAGTTTTTTATATAATAATATTTTAAAGTTAGGATTTATGATATAGTATTATATTGAGTGGACTTGAGTTTTTGGGGTAAAGGGGATGTTAACCTATCATTCTAATACTTTTAAATGTTTGTTTACCATATGAGTCACATTCTGTATCGTAATTCCGAATATTGAGGAGATTATAACCCATTTTAAATTGTACGTAGCTCCGTCTCAGAAAGGTATCTCATAGGCAGTGGTGGAGCTAGGTGGCTACGATTAATGCCTCGTTAACATTGGAATACAAGTAAAATAACTCGTAAAAGTTTGCGACAAAAATTTATTAAGATAGAATAGTCCGATAAAATTTTAGAGTTTGTTCTCTAATTACTGTGATTCTAATCAGCTCGATATTCTGATTTTATATTCTTCTTCTACCTATAGAGTAGAGCATAATCGAAAATTCTAAATTGGGAGAGAGATTGAGAGAGGGAGGAAGAGGGAAATGATGTATGTTTGCATGGAAATGGAACATGATGAGAGGAGGAAATCTATTGGGAAATCTGTGGGGTGGTGGGTGGCCTCATCATGACTTAACGTAGCCAAGTGACACAGACAGACGGCTGCCAGTGTTCACTGTTTGGAGTTTGGACCCTCCCGCCGAATTTTCTTTCTTTGCCTCTTTTCCCCCCTTTAACTTTCCCGTTTTGCTATTTTTTAATACCAAACACACTGAAGAAATCGGGGGAACAGATTCTTTTCTTTATTATTATTGAAATATACATCAACCTAACTTGTTTTCCTTTGATGCTATTTTTTTTTAATATCAAACGTTTTGATTTGGTGTCAGTGCACTTTGTTTTCTGATTTTTAGATTAGATTGGGTGTTTCTTTATTATTAAGAATTTATTAGTGCTTGCAGTTTCAATTGCAGAAGCACTATTATATGACTAATTCTTCATTTTCAGCAATTGCAGAGTGGCATTGATGTTGTAGGCACATTGCAAATATGCAAAGGGTGGAAATGTTGCGACTTGCTTTGTAATGTCACATTACACCTACTACTACTACTATTATTATTATTATTATTATTATTATTATTATTATTATTATTATTATTTATTCATATGAATATGTTTTGTTATTTAGTTACTTCTTATTTTATAGTGTATTATCATTCCAATAGACTTTACGTTTCGGTGCACAAGTGTAAATTTCACTAAAACGTTGTAAAACTAGGGGAGGGCACGTGGGTGATTAATTCGTGGATTGATATTGATCCACCCACAAATAACCGACCCGCAAGTAGTGTGTGATTGATGTGGGTGGATTGTGAATTGATAAATTTCACACCCGCACTTATGGTGGTGGTGGTGGGTGGATTGCGGGTCACCCGAATGATCTGCATCCTATTTTCACATGAAAAAGTGTTGTTTTGACTACTACTATATTATTGTGTTGTGTAATATTCATTAGATATTTGATTGTAAATTATTGTTATTATCCATTAAATATTAGGATGAAAAATTTTAAATTATTAATTTTATCAAAATCACGAAATGCGTAAGTTTTCTCTACACAATTGGTTGATAGAGTAGTAAATTTTTTATGCAAATACTACATGGAATCACTTGAAACAGAGTGATAAGTGTTTAAATTGATATAGTCTTACTAATGTACCATGAACTTATTATAAATGTTAGTCAACTTTCTTAATGACTAGTTGGAGAATTGCTTTTGCGGGTTAACCCACGACCCAACCGCACTCATCCGCCACTCATCCAACCCGCCCCGCAAAAGAATGTGGGTGGATTGCGGGTCACAATTATTCCAACTCGCTAGTAAACGGGTGGGTCAATTTGAAACGAAAACCCATCCAACCCTCCCATTGCCCACCCCTATGTAAAAATACTTTTTGTGATTTTAATATACGATTTCTATTTATGTTTTGAAAACAATTATACATATTATGTTGATAAACCAGCATAAATCGATGATACTTCTGTTGGATCTCGATCAGATCACAGTGACAGATCCAGGGGGTGGTCACCCCGGGTCACGGCCCAACCCTACTCAGGGTCTGGAGCTAGTATAGGCTTTATGAATTTTTTTGATTTTAGATATTTGACCCAATGTTATTTTATAATAGGATTGTGTGTAACTAGAAAAATAGTTCTGATGAATATGTTAAGATCGCTACTCTAAATTTAGTCTATAAATTCTAGCCTCAATGATTTTCGTCTAAAAAAATAAACAATGAAACCTAAAAATCTAAAACGTAAAAGACTAAAAGAAATATGAGGTGTGTTCCCTTGAAAAATTACTAGAGCAGTCGGTGGAAATAGGGATGGACACACAATATAAATTGATTACTTGATTGTTTTGTCTAGTGTTAACGTTGCCCATTTCAACGGCTACTACGAAGATAACCTTGTCAACAATGAAACATGTGAAAACGGATTTGGCCAACAAAATGAGCGTTGAATTTCTCATCAATTGCTTAACTACTTTATTTGAAAGCGAGTATGCTATTGGTATTGATGTAGACTCCATTACTGATGAATTCTCTAAATTAAAATACCATCGTGTACAATTGACATTGTAAAAAAAATATTGTTATTTTTTTTACGGTATCTAATTTTTCAATGAAATGCGACCCAGTATTCTACTATGCAGTGGCATAGCCTGGATTTCGTCTATGGTGGGTCCACTTAGGAGAAAAATACACATGATAAAATAGTTTTTTTAATTTCTAATAATTCTTGTCTTGATATAATATTTATTTAAAATCTTTTTGGTAAATTAAAATACATTAGTAGTCGAAACTATCAAGAATATCACTCTAGGTACCAAACAATTATTAATAATTTAGTTAGTCGTTCTATTACGAATGATGTTCTTTGTCAAGAACCATTTAGTATCAATGACTCAAGTTGTTGAGAGAAGTTTAATAATGAATCTTACACCAAACAATAATCCATGATATTTAGTTAGTTGTTCGCTTTCCGAATGATGTTCTTTTTCAAGAACCGTTTAATATTAATAACTCGAGTTATTGAGAGAAGTTCAATAATATATCTTATACCATTTACTAGCACGCTCCCTCAGAAGAAAGTCAGCTTAATTATACGGACTTAAAGTTTGTACAAATCTGAACACCGTATGCTTAAGAAATAATGTCGACAAGATTTGAACATGTACAAGACCTAATTTCCCATCAGCTATTCTCAATTCGACGCCCCTGATTTTCTATATCAATTAAATATTGTAACTAATTTAACCATTTTCTTCCCGAACTAAAATGGGTCTGTCACTGCTACTATGTCCCAGTCTCCTAGATCCGCCGCTGCTATCCAACTATACCTCTTACTTCACTTGTTCAAGGATAGAAGCAGATTTACAAACTTTAACCTAAGATTTGATCATTTGAAACCATATAGATGATGAGCACTTCTACTATGCTATATAGCATTGGTGCTTTAATGTACAACTCAAAGTTGTACCATAACATGAAATGTATAAGTTTAGATTGTACCATAAAGCAATTTGTACCATTATGTTATGGTACAACTTTACAACTTGAAGTTGTACCATCACATAAGGTACAAGTTCAAGTTGTACCATAAAAGAATTTGTACAAAAAGTATAGGTACAATCTGAAGTTGTACCATAACGTAAATGTACAATTTTGAGTTGTACCATAAAGGCAAAAACCTATAGCACCAATACTATATAGCATTATAAAATTTCTCATAGATGAAACTATGTCCGAAACTATGGGCTCGTTTGCTTGTTGGATTTGAAAATGAAGGTTTTGAGTTTTAAAAACCTTTGGATTTATGATGGATTTGTTGCATCATGGATTAGGAAGAGTACATTGTTTGTTTAGTTGATTTTTTATCATGAATTTGTAATGGATTTGTCTCACATCTTTTCCTTCTATTGTCAAATCCCAAATGAAATGTGGGATTTACAAATCCGTGGGGTCCACGGATTTGGATCATAAAAAGGGGTCCAAATCCGTGGACCCCACGGATTTGTATCTCTCAACAAACAAAGGATTTATGTCAACTCCATGATGATTGGGATTTGGGTTCCAAATCCATCACCCAAATCCCACAAGCAAACGACCCCTATATAGGTAGGTAGGTAGCCCGGAATATTAGTTAGTGAAAGTACAATAAGGCACAGCTCTTTTCCCCCCCTGTCATAAAGCGTACGATGTTATTGAGAATGATGGAACTGATCGATCAAACTCCATTTTCATCATAACGTGAGAGAGGCACGAATCTGATTTGCTCTCTCTGTAAATGGCGGATGGGTGTGAAAAAATTTGGCCAACTTATTTCGTCAAAGATATGGAAAGGACAGTGGCTGGCAGCAGCTGGGAGATCGAATCCATGATCACTTGCTGCTGGCGTCATTTGACAATCGATCGTTCAGCTTTTTACGTGTTCCTTTCCCAAATCTTAAAACGTATCGAGACAACAAAAACAACAACTGGTCCAGCTAAGCTAAAGCTTCTTCTTTTTTCTTTTTTTTTTACGTGTTCTTTTCAACATGGTTGCTGTACGTTACGTGTTTTCTTTTCTGTAAGATCGCCATGAACGATTGTTGTTGATAAGTAGTTTATACTGTTCTGGTTGGGTGGGGTGGGGTCGTCCTTTTGTGATATGGTCGTCGTTTCAACGTTTAAACGATTCATCAGATTTCGATGAAAAGGAAAGAACAGAGTGAGTGAGAGAGAGAGAGAGGGAGGGAGAAGATTCATAATTTTGAAAGTTAGGACGAATCGTGGGGGTGGATCTTGCTGTCAGTATCAGTGGATCGAGTTTGGCATATAAACAAACAAAAAGGGGGAAAAAAGAGAAGCCACCAGTCAATGGGTCAATGTTTGGTTTGTTTATTAATCTTTGTTCTTTGATTTCCCACTTAGCTTGTGTAGGTGTTTCCTCTGTTTTTCATGGCGGGAACCAGCTCATACCCCAAATTGGAAGGACAAGTGGTATACGATTCAATTCAATGGTTAGTCGTTGTGAAATTGTTGGTGATCAAGGGTTTATGATCGTTTATACTTGTAGGAATATAATACATATAGCTCATAGAACAATTTAAGAAAATTTATGGATCGATATTGTGATTATATATTGCATATGTCTCTGCTGCCATCAATTTTTTGTTATAGACATTGGCTAAAAGGCGACTTTAGTTGAGAAGTCGATTTACCGCTCTATACTGGTTTAGAATCCGGTAGAGGAAGTTTGAATCTTATTACCTCGGTTAGCTTACGTCGGTGGAGGTTAGTCGTCCGCTGGGTATTCAAACTGAGCGAGTTTTGAGTACTTTAGTCGAGACTCCAGACAGTTTGAGAACTTTTTCCAGTTTAAACATCAATCAACTTGACTTAGGTGAATTACAACTTGGCCTAAGTGCGTTCTAGGGGGGACTCAAACCTGAGTGACCCTTCTAAACCTAAATACAACCGCTTTCTGCTTTTTGTTTAATTTGCTTTGAAAACTTAACTCAACTTTTCCCGCTAGATAATATATAGAAATTTACGGAGTAGGCAGTACATCTAGGTCCTGGGTTGACTTTTATTACTTGATCCCACTATAATGCATTTCCATTCTACGATTACACTTGGTCGTAGTTTGGTGTTGTGTTGTAGCGAGTCAGGAACCCTTGTCTCTGTTGACCCTCCTTCTTATTTATAAGCATGTGATGATAATCGTCATACAAAATGCTTGCTTGATAACTCCTAAAAAAGAACCACTCTCTTCTTCCTCGAACGTGTCTTAAAACGTGCGATGGTTGCAGTTACTCCCTCAATCGCATAGTTACGTGATGTGCAAGTGTAGTAGTATTACAATCGAACTAATACATTTCCTAGGTATGTCAAGCGACGGATCTAGGGGGCCACCCCCGGGCCACGGCCCAGCCCTCCCCTGGATCCAAAGCTAGTATAGCCCATGTAAAATTTTGATTTTAGATATTTATTTCATTGTTCGTCGGGTTAAGACACAGTCATCTTCCCTTCTTTTCAAATGTGGCCTAGTGCTATATCCTATCCTGTATTCGTCGATGGGTATGTCTAGGATCGTATTCCACATGACTTTTGATAGCAACTACTTTGAAACTAACAACTTTATATTCAAATCACAATGCAGAAAAGTAAATATGATAGGTTGAGTTTACCTATTAGTTGTTCAAAATCTACTATCTATTCAAACACACGAAAACAACAAAGCAAGTAAATAACAAGTAATCAAGATAAAAGACATTGTTTAGTTAGTTTCATCTAGATGATCATGCATACGATCTTATTAATAATAAGAATCAATAAATCTTCTATTGTATAACCCTATCTCTTCCACTAAGGTCGTCATATTCGAGCTCTAGACACATGCAATAGGAAGTATGGATAACACATTGCTATTTAGGGCTTCTACGAGCCATAACGATGATATATGGTATTGATGATCTAGTGTATCAATCATGCATAAAGGATTGCACACTTCTCTTCATACACGCCTAAAATATATGCATACCACATAAGTTGGATTTCCCATGCAACATATGATTATATTATAAGCAAGCATATAATAGGTGATATAAACATCAAACAGTAGGGGCATCAAACATATAAAGCATTGAATGACATAAGCATCACATTACTAAAGCATTTAATGATAGACATCCAATGAAAAAGGCAACTAATGGCTATAACATATCATTAATTATAGAAAGTAATACATAAACATCATATAATTTACATTCCTAAACAACATAAAAAGCTTAGTTGGCCATAGAGGAGATTGATAACACCACCATTGATGATGAACGCACCTCCATGAAGCTCAGCACGTTCCCACTAGGGCAAAGTGTATGTAAAACTTGTGTCTAAATGCTCAAACCTACACTCCTAATTATACTAATTACAGGAGGGGGGGGGGGGACTGTCAACTTCATAAGGAAGTTCAACCAAAACGAGAAATTTTCGTACTTGGATTGTGCCGAAAGTTAGTGGAAAGCTTCTAGAAGGTTCCAAGACCAAGAGTCCCCCCAACCAAATTGGACACATTTGGAGCACGACATTATGAACTTTACACTCTGTTTTGGGCCTTATTGGCCTCCAAATGGCCCTAATTTTGGCAAACTGCATCCCCATTGTCTCCAGGGTTGTTATTTAAATTTTAGCTCAAGTGGACTTCCTATTACCCGATGTGACCTTCGTCAAAGGTAAGCTTATTGCAATGTCAAATATGCTTCTCTGAGCATCTAATGCCCAATCCATTTATGTTTGAGCCCATGAGCTTGTAATCTCATCCTTCGTCTTATCCATTGATAATCCATATTATTCTTGAGCATATTGTATCCTTAAAAAGCACAAACCAACACCAAAAGGCGCAAAATAGTACAAAACACACCAAGGTCTATCTTAGGCACGTTGATCATATTTATATGAAATATAGTAAAGTGTATGAAATGCAGGAGTGACAAACAGTATAATTTGAGCATCATCAATATGTGCCTCTCTCTTAAAACCATCATGGGTCTTGAAGTGTAGTTTGCCTCACTTGATCTTGTTCCATGCGATCTTGTGCCATGCTAGTCTTGTGATGAGCATGTGGTTTCTCATAAAGGGGATCGTGGTACTCTTATTCACCAACATGACTCATTTGTCTCACACCCACGACCTTCCCAATCATGCACATGGTCATATGGTCTAGCGGCCACATACATCTTACTCACACCCATGACTCTCTTAACTCATGTCCATGGCTCTTCTTGCGACACGACCATAGACCTCTCAGAATCATTATATGATTGGCCATTCAGTCTTGGCCATGCGGCCTGATCTCATGGCATGCTCTCTTTCTTCACGACTATGGAGTCTCATTCGCAGCGACGACTTTCTCACTTAATGGCCCTCTTATTTCGCGGCCTGGGACGTCTACTCTCACCCATGATCCTCTTAACTAGCATTCGTCTTGCAACCAAGGATGAGTTCTCACTTGTGCCCATGGCCTTCCTAACTCGCGACAATGGATTTCTCATACTTATCGTATTTTTGCTCCCTTTATGTGAGGCTTAGGACCATGATTTTTTTATTCTCGTGGCATGACTTGACCTCTTACGAGAAGGTCTCGCCCATGCTCGCAAATAACTTAACGGCTCGACTTAAAAGTCAGGGGCCATGAGATCCAACTTAAGTAGCATGAATTGTTATAATTCATCTAACCCTATAAGAGCATTAATCACATAGTAAATCATCACTATGTTACAAAAAATAAATTAGGTGCAAACACAATTCTACCTCAATTCTTTGTGAACTCATACTCGATTCGACCTTTTATCTCTTCTCAATTTCCTTTCTAATCAACTGTTATACTTGACTCTTCTCTTAGTCCGGTAGGCCTCCTCACTAGTTGAAATGATCACAATATCTTAAAATGAAATCCTGACACGATCAATTCATCGACTAATCAGGAAATCGTAAAACAAATACCATAGATTTTATCGAATAAGTTAGTAATAGGGTATTTTTAATTTGTGTTTAACTCGTAATGGTTGAACCATTCATACTTATAAAATCACCTATCGAATTGGTTCCTTACACGTTTTTTTCCGTTCTTACAAATTAAACTTATTAAAGCCATTTGATGGGCTCATGAGTTGCAGCCCATATACAATCACTTAAACCAGAAAGTAAAATGGTCCAATTCTCAGTGAAAAAAGGGCCCAAAGTAAGAATTGCTAGACCGCAACACGTTTCGTTGCTCTTTCGGTAACGGCGTCGTTTGACTCCGCAAAGTTTCTAATCGTCTATATTCTTTCCGCCGGCCGCAATTTCTGCATACTGCCCCGTCTACGCCGCCGGCAAGTGCCGTAACTGCAAGAAGCGAAACCGAGAACAGAACAGTGAACTACTCCAAAGTCCAAACCGAAGCTCTGAACTCAATTTGAAAAGGGGAAAGCCATCGCAGCTCACGCTAGACTTTCCAAACCACAGAAATGTGTGGAGACGCGACGAACTGGGACGAGAGAGCATACCGAGAGAACGGGAAGCCCAAACCCTAACGGTCTTTAGGACGGCGTGGGCACCTTCTCCTGATCCCGTTCCAGACGCCGTCGTTGTAGCCTCCAGTGATGGATCGATCGCTTCATACTCTATCTCCTCTTGCGCCTCCTAACTCGTAAGCACTTTCTGGCTACGATTATCTGATCAATTTTCTGAGACGATGATCTGATTAATTTTCCTTTTGGCAACAGCCAGTGGGTTTTGGCTATGGAATGGCTCAGCGGTAAGTACTTGACGAAGCTGGTGACTGTCCTTCTCCACAATTTGCTTAATCTGTGATCCGTTTTATACATTGAGTTGGAGGGAAGGGTTGTGTTTGCAGAAAGTGTATTGCATCTATTAGTTTGTAATTTGGTTTTGTGCATGCGCCTCTGCAGTTGTGGTGATGATGGCCTTATTCGAGGATGGAAATGGAATGAATTTACAGAATCAGAGATTCCAGTTTCCACGCAAGGTAATAGAAGTAGATTAAAAGAAATGAGGGGTTAAACCTGTAGCTAAATAAACGTATAGAACATTGCTTGCTCTAATTGATGCATGAGACTGCTATACCATCAGTCAACATGGTTGCTTCAAATCATTAAATTAGCAGTCAGCTCTGGATGTTACCTGTTTTGTGGTTTCTGAATGGGTATTTTAGAGGATTGGTTCCATATGATCTTGTATATGATCCTTTTTCGGCCAAAATTTTACGCCTCGGGGTTCTTTGCACAGGAAATCATATGGAGCCAGTGGTTGACTTGGTGAATCCCCAACACAGGTTAGTCAAGACTCATGATAAATCTTAAAGGATTTTACCATTCGTTTGTTTCTTGCCCTCTACCTTGCACTTGATTACTCACCGTAAGGGATGATTCATTATACATAGGATGGTATCACAACTCAAATTAGGTCATGAACTATTGGTTCATCGTGGTGCCTGATGGATCACTGACTTTTGACTGGCAACATAATTTTGTTAATTTTCCTTTGGTTAATGGGTTCATGGAGGAAGTTTGTTTCTATTGCCATACTGTTAACGTCTTCTCAGAATTATCTTCTTTTATTGACATCTTCAGAGGTCCATGGGGTGCTCTTTCTCCAACCCCTGAAAACAATGCTATTGCTTTAGGCACTCAGGTTAGAATGAGTGATTTATGCATTGTGCATTGATGTTTGAAATACCCCCTGTTGCTCGAACAAAAAGTCCATTGTTAACACTTGCTTGTTTAATAGGACGCATCCATATTTTCTGCTGCTGGTGATTCTTGTGCATATTGTTTGGACGTGGTATGTACTTGCTCAAGGTGCAAATTTTATTGGTTTCACTGAATCCACATGGAACTATTTCACTGACAGTGACCATGCATGTTTAAATCCATTTAGCAAATTCAGATCAAATATATCCTGATTGCTTTGTAACTATCCAGGAGACAACTAAGATTAAAAAGGGTTTTAGGGGGCACTTGGATTACTTGCACTGTATAGTTTCCCGCAACTCTTCCAACCAGGTAATGTTATTTCCTCTTCAACATCGTATCTTTTGGTTTCTAAAATACCATGCTCTTTTTAAGATGGTGAAAGTCTGGTGAAAGGATTTATGTTTTGAGTGATCATCAATTGGCCCGAGTAGGAAACTATCTCAGAAAGTAGCTCCTGGATATTGCTCACTAGAGGTGCAAAAGTTTGCAATTGTTTTCACGAAGGAAAAATTACATCCATAGCCTTATATTCTTATTTGGATTGTTGCATCATAGGAAACCACTGGGAAGAAGCTGTAACTTGTACTAGGAGCCTCATGGCTATTAGTTCTCAACTTCTGGGGTCTAATCTAAGATTCTCATATCAGCCTCCAAAAGAATGAAGACTTCTGACTGTCTAAGCACACAAATTATAAATTGGCTAGTTTTCATTTGGTCTTTTATTATCATTGTTTGACTTTACAATATTGCTTTTGGTTATATTGCAAGAATCTCATACTTATTTAGGCTCTGAGAGTCCTTTTGGCATCTAACTATCTGTAGATCAATTGCCTTTTGAAATGAATGTATGAGACTAGGTCTATCAATCAACTGCAGGGGTAACAACTCCTGAAATTCGACCAATGCATGCAAAACATATACTGTTCTTATTGGTGATTTTTCCCCATTTTACTCCTGACAGCAACACCAAGCATAATAATAGAGAAATTTGGTGACTATATGTTGTAGATACTGAGCATGGTTACCCACCATTTGCCTTTGCTCTCAGGTTATAACTGGTTCTGAAGATGGAACAGCAAGAATTTGGGGTAAAATACTCTTTTGAATATCATGGATCACAGCTACCTAGTCCAATAGAGATAAAGTGACTCGTTGTTTTTATATATTATATTTCTTTGATAGATATAATGCCAGTTTGATGACATTAGTTTGGAGACCAAGACCCCAACTATATCCATGCCAATAGGGGATAAGTTTAGAATGGTCATTAGTGTGGAAGAGAAGGTGATTAACTTTGTAATTTGTAGTAATTTTGATAGTGTTTTCCCCCCAGCTTCTAGAGATCAGAACAGAAGATAAGAATTAGGAAGAAAACTTATTTTGAATTTGCCTTGCGAGGTAGAAGAAGTGCTTTTTGGTGTTTCCTGTTTTATGTTAGCCATTGGGAAAGCCTTTTGGTTATGCACCTGCAAATTTCGTCCCGAATCTGGTTGCAAGTTTCTGATGGCTACATTAGCGATAATCTGAATGCCCCATATGTAGTTTTATGCTCAGTTTATGATAAATGGAGTAGCTTTTTTCAGATTGCAAAAGTGGGAAGTGCATCAGAGTATTTGATCAGGGGAAGGATAAGAAGTTGAATAGATTCTCTACCTCTGTTAGATGCATTGCACTTGATTCAAGTAACAGCTGGTTGGTATGTTTTTGGGAAGATACCACTCTAGTTTGATGCATGTTCTGATATGATTGATGAAGGATGTTTGTTGTTGTACAGTGGATGAGAGGGAGATGAACAATCAATCGTGTTTCCAATGTTAAAAAGTGTAATGTTTTGTCTAGTATTGCTGACAGTTAACAAGGCTAATAGTTGAACAGGGTGGCTTACCAAAATATTGTACATGTTCATAGGCTTGTAGCAGTGGTCAGAGCTTATCAGTTTGGAATCTGCACGCTTCTGAGTGTGTTTCGAGGACTTCTACTAGTGCATATTCGACAACAACCAAGTAAAGCCAACTCTATTGCAAGTGACCTCCTAATGCACCAAACTTAAAATTGGCCAAGAACTAGTTTTTATGGATACGATGAACAACCAATTTTTTGTATGCTGCAGTTAATATCATTTCGGTTTGTTTTGGCTTGTTTTTTTTTCTTACCTCCCTCTCTTTATTCCTTTCCTCTCTTCTTTGAGCAGTATCTGCATTTTGGTCTCTGAAAGTTTGTTGTATCACATAATGTCATAATTTCAGGTACTAGCTGTTGGATCAGAACCTTTCCTCAGTTTATTCGATCTAAATGGGAAGATTCTTTCACGAATACCATGCACTCCGCAGTCCGCATTCTCTGGCTCTTTACATTCATCAGGGGTTACTTCTCTCTCAGAATACATTTTCCTCGGAGTTTCCTGTTTCTGAAAGCTGTATCAATCTGGTCTGGTACTCTGGTTCCGTCCACTGTGAGCCAAATCGTAGCACCACCCTAGGAATAGATATGAAGTTCATATTATGAACTAATTGATACCCCTGTCGCCCTCGCCATGCTCCTTCTGATGCATTCCAATACTTTTTTTCTCTTTATCATTCTGGATTCAGGTGACAGCAATTGGAGGTTACGGCGGTCTTGTAGACGTGATATCCCAGGTTCGAAGCCACTACTGCACTTTCTGCTGCAGTCGAGCATAAAGAGAGAAAGCGAGAATGTCTACGATGTCTTTTTATTCGCATCACCTCTAAGTTGCATCTGGAATCAGAAGTTGTCAGCTGCAGCATTTGGATCATCCCATGGTGAAAGCAGTTAAAAGGTGAGGAGGCATTCATATATGTTAAAGAAGTTTAGGGGGGAACACCACAGCAACAGGAGAGGTCTCTCTGTTTTCAATTGTAAAGACGAATTCGGTGTCGCTTCTTAGAACTTCTGTAGACATAATTTCTTTCATCTTAACCCAATTTGATGTTAGTTAACCCTCTTATCCAATGAATCCATCTGGAAACATGCTTTCAGATTTCAGTGTTTGTGAATTGTGATCAATCTCGGATTCTCGGTGATCGCGCAAAGTGGTAAACACCACGTCATAATTTTTTTATGGGCAGGAATCGAACTCTCGATCTCATGATGAATGGACGAGACGACCAATTACCATGCTGCACTCTCTTGCTAGTCGACTGTTTTCCCTAGTCGCCAAAACGAGAAATCCCGAAAACCGGAAATGGTTGAGCTAGAGCAGACCGCAGGAGTTGATCCGGTGGTGGTGCCTGACTCGGACTCGGACTCGGACTCGGACTCGAGCTCCGACTTGGAACCACGTTCCGGTGAAGAACCGTAGGGTTTCCCACATGGAGGATCTGGTCAGCCGTACCTTCATGGATGGCAGTAGAGAGAAGTTGCCGTGGTAGGAAAAGTCGCTCTCGCTTTTCTGTGTCCCTTCCTTTGTTCTGCGATTCCCCTGAATCGGTGGTCTTCAGGATCGGCGAGTATCTGTTTCTGTTGAAAACACAAAAGGTATGGCCGGATACAATTCAGCTTCCCTCGCTCCTCATTCAAATGAATTTTGATTGATTAAGCTCTCAGTCGAAGGATGGTTAATTGAGAATGCGCTGCCCAGTTTTATCTGTTTGTAAACTGTTTTGAGTAGTTGGGTGGTGGTTCTAGAAATTGAACACTGGTGCTGTTTTGTTGGTTTTGGGGTTTTCACGATATGGAGATTGCTGTGAGCTAAGCCCCACAATCAGCAACACCGAACCCAACCTGTTCCTGGTGGCGCTCGTGCACGTGGTCATGTACTGGTACTACTTCTGCACCGCCTTGGGGTCCCGCCCCCGGTGGAAGAGGGTGGTGACGGATTTCCAGATCGTGCAGTTCGTATTCAGCTTCTGTATCTCCGGGCTGATGCTGTACTACCATTTCGCCGGAGGCGGGTGCTCCGGTATGTGGGGGTGGTGCTTCAATGCCGTTTTCAATGCTTCGCTTCTGGCGCTTTTTGTTGATTTCCACGGGAAGAGCTACGCTGCTGCCGCGAAGAAGAGGAAGGCCTCCGCGGCGGAGAAGATTGGTTCCGGAGGCGGCGGTGGCGATAAAGCTGGAAACACTTGCCTCCGGCGACTTTGTTGGTCCGGCGGTCGCTGCAATCAATTTTCCTCAGGCGAGAAATAAAGAACCAATTAATGGCCCCATTGGTCAGTTTCGCCCTATTTGGTTTTAAAACATCAGTTATGTTATTTGATGTTATTGGGTCTTTAATGATCCGTTACAAGTGATTAATGAGTCACTAAAGCGATCCTTTTATGGCGCTCTACGACCTTTATGGTTGGTTTATATCTCAAATTATGGGATAGAAAGAATTAATTTATGACTTTCAGAATTAATTTATGGCTTTCAAAGTATCAGTGGCGCAAACTTCTTCCTCATTGGAAAAGCTTCATCCATTGGAATTTTATGAGCATTTACTCATCGGATTGAAAGACGCCCATTATTTCGGGCTGTGGTTAAAAACGTCATTAATTAATAATTAATTCCGATTCCTTTTGTGTTTAAAATTAACTTAATGAGCCATTAGCTCAATTTACTAGAATTGATGACATTTTCTTCAATTTATTTTAATTAATTAATAATTAATTCCGATTCCTTTTGTGTTTACAATTAACTTAATGAGCCATTAGCTCAATTTATTAGAATTGATGACATTTTCTTCAATTCATTTTAATTTGAGACCCATCGGCAGTAGAATGTGAATTCATTTTAATTTGAGGCCCATCGGCAGTAGAATGTGAATTCTAAAACTCAATTTTGGTTTCTTGCCAAATGGTATGACCAATTTTTTTGTTAGAAAATTAATTAGGGTTAATAAATCACGACAAAGTTGAAGAGTGGGTGATTAGCGGATATGGCTTTCCACTAAGAATGGTTTGTATTATTTTAAATTGTATTTGTATTATGTTAAACAACATTGCAAACTATGGTGGCTCTTCAATTTCATGAAGTAAATTGCTTTATCAAATATCTAGATTGTTGGGAATATCAAGAGATTATTGAACATTTGTTCTTTCATTGCCCCCTTGTCATCATGCTATGGACTTTTAGTGGGATTAAGTGATTTGCTTGCTTCCGCCCAAACTTCGAACTTTAGTATATGGTGGCGACAATGTTATGTTTTTAGTAAACTTCCAAACCCACATTCTCCCATGCGTTTGCCTTTTTTGGAGAATCTGGAAATCTCTTAACAAAGTGGTTTTTGATTATACTCAGCCACACGCCCGTTCTCTTGCCCGTCAATTCCATTTCCAAGTCATTGAATTTTCCTTAGCCTTTCAGCCCCCAGGACCTCTCTCTCAGGCTTGTGCCCTCTCCTCCTTCCGTTCTGCATCACCCGCCTCCAGACTTTGTGAAGATCAACTTTGATGCTGCTGTTTGTCGTTCCGGTTGCTCGTCTGGCCTCGTCATACATGGGACAGACGGGCAAGCTCTACTGGCCTGGGATCTTAGCACCAAGGAGTTTTCGATCCCTATCTAGCAAAGCACCTTGTTGCTAGGTGATCCTGAAGTGGTGATTCGGCATCTGGACCGTAGAACAGTGGAAGATTCGATAGGCGGCTCACTACTCCAAGAGTGTCATCGGCTCCTAGTTTCATGCTCTCTTTGTATAGTTTTTAGTGTGGTTCTGCGGACTGCCAACTGAGCTGCCCATAGAGTGGCACCTAAAGCTCTGTTGCTGTCCTCTTTAGAGGTAGCGTACTTTGTTTTTGTAGGGTGGCTTCACTAAGTGTTGCTTTGGGTGGGGTTTTGGGTAGAGGTTTCTAACTTTTTTTCTCTTGTCATTACTTGGAAAAAAAGAAAAAAAAGACTGTTTTCCCTAGTCAGTAGGCGAGGAAATGGGCTTGTGAGCCGATCGATCATTCTAAAGGCCCAATCCGAATGGGCCGAGGTGTGGAAGCCCAGCCCGCAAGGAGTACGAATCCGGGAACGAAAAAGAGAGACGGACAAAAGCGACGGTATATATACAAGAACCGGAGCAAACCCTTCGCCTTCTCTAACCCTTTTGGCTTCCGCGAAAAAGCAAAATACAAGACTATCCCCAGCCGCAGCACAGCGGCAGCCAACCAGCAGTTCTCTCTCTCTCGTTCTCGACTTAGCGTTCCTTCTCTATTAACTCCGCTGCTTGTGAGAAGAACCGCTCAAAACCCTAGTTCTTCTTTCCTGAGACGAGACTGCTCCTCGTCAAACCGCCTTCGTCAAATCTCAGCAATCGCAAACACACAGGTTTCCCCCTTTTCTCCCTCTTCTCAAATCTCGTCCTTGGTTCGCCGGTTGTTCTTCCCTTCATTTCTTTTATGCTGTGTCGTCGTCTAGCCTTGTCGATTTACCACCTGAGAAGTATTGTTGTGCGGCTGGGACCTTACTGGGTTTCCGATCTCTCTTTGATCTGGAGTGTCATGTTTAGTGTGTTCTAATTGTTGAAGTGGCGCGTCTACACGCCGTGTAGAGTAAATCTGCTTGAATTTTCGGTTGATTTGATTCCTGTTTGTGCCGGTTTGTTTGGGATGGGTTACATGTCAGATTTTTGCGTCTGTTGTTATGGTTCTCGGCTTCTTACGAGGTCGATTTGTATGGATTTTGCAGTTTCAGATATGGCAGGACTAGCACCAGATGGCTCCAACAATTTTGATGCCAAGAGCTATGATCAAAAGATGAGCGAATTGTGAGTGGCCATTGGTTTTGTTGTTTTTATTCTTTTGGTGGAAAAAGCTTCTACCTTTCCCCCTTCCTGTTTGTGTTTAGGTCTAACCACTGCATAAACTCTTTTGAGAAGCATCCTAATAAACCTATTTTCTTGTCCTACAACTTGTGTCTTGTAGACTTTTGGCTGATGGACAGGACTTCTTTGCTTCTTATGATGAGGTCCACGAAACTTTCGACTCTATGGGCTTGCAGGAGAATCTTCTTAGGGGCATTTATGCATACGGTAGATTTGATTGTTCTTAAGTTTGTATTTCTTGTGGTGCTCTTGTTTTGTGATCTTTGCCCTTTGGGGACTGCTTCAACTGCTTCTGTGTGATGGTATGACCGTTATTTTCTTATTTGCTGATACTCTCTGCTTTTGTAGGTTTTGAAAAGCCATCTGCTATCCAGCAGAGGGGAATCGTTCCCTTTTGCAAGGGGCTCGATGTGATTCAGCAAGCCCAGTCTGGAACTGGAAAGACTGCTACTTTTTGTTCTGGTATCCTGCAACAACTTGATTATGCCCTGGTAGAATGCCAGGCTCTTGTCTTGGCTCCAACTAGGGAGCTGGCCCAGCAGATTGAGAAGGTTATGCGTGCACTCGGTGATTATCTTGGTGTCAAGGTCCATGCTTGTGTTGGTGGAACCAGTGTCCGTGAGGATCAGCGCATCCTTTCCAGTGGAGTCCATGTCGTTGTTGGTACCCCTGGTCGTGTTTTTGACATGCTTCGTCGACAATCCCTTCGTGCTGATTCCATCAAGATGTTTGTCTTGGATGAAGCTGATGAAATGCTTTCCCGTGGATTCAAGGACCAGGTAACATTTTTTGCTTGCGTCATCTGTTGTAGATGATATCATCGTCCAGGAGATTGCTTTACTGAGTATAGTGTTTGCAATTTCACTATGGGTGTTTCCATAAAATAAAGAATGAATTTAAAAAAAAAAAACTTTCTTGAATAGTGGGTTTTAGTCAATTTTGTGGATTTTGGATGAATTGTTTGAAAATGTCTTTGTATTAGTGTGCTAGCCACACCTTTTGACTTGTTTTTGTTTTGTTGGTTTCAACTTCCACCTTGTTGGCCAATGGTGCCTTGTAGTGCTTCTTCCCGAGTGTATATGCCATGTGTAGCCCTAATATGATCTCTTCTTTGCTTGCACAGATCTATGACATTTTCCAGCTGTTGCCACCAAAGATTCAAGTCGGTGTGTTCTCTGCAACAATGCCACCAGAGGCTCTGGACATCACCAGGAAGTTTATGAACAAACCAGTTAGGATCCTTGTGAAGCGTGAGGAGCTCACCTTGGAAGGTATTAAGCAGTTCCATGTCAATGTGGATAAGGAAGAGTGGAAGCTGGAGACACTCTGCGATCTCTACGAGACCCTAGCCATCACCCAGAGTGTCATCTTCGTGAACACCAGGCGCAAGGTCGACTGGCTGACCGACAAGATGAGGAGCAGAGACCACACTGTCTCTGCCACTCACGGTGACATGGACCAAAACACTAGGGACATCATCATGAGGGAGTTCAGGTCTGGCTCATCCCGTGTCCTGATCACCACGGACCTCCTTGCCCGTGGTATTGATGTCCAGCAAGTCTCCCTGGTCATCAACTACGACCTCCCAACCCAGCCTGAGAACTACCTCCACAGGATTGGTCGTGGTGGTAGGTTCGGAAGGAAAGGTGTGGCTATCAACTTTGTCACCAAGGATGACGAGAGGATGCTCTTTGACATCCAGAAGTTCTACAATGTGGTGATCGAGGAGCTCCCAGCCAATGTTGCGGATCTTCTGTGAGGAAAGGCATTTTGATGTGTTGCTGCCTTCCTTTGCCTTGAATGAATGAGTGAGTGAAGAGAGATTATGATGGATGGGAGACTATGTGAACCGGTGTCTTTGTACTCTCTTTTATCTTCGTTTTTTATGTTTTGATGCTTTCTTTTTTGGGTTGGGACTTGGTAGTATTCACTATGGAGAGTAGAAGGCTTGTTCTGTTGTGAAATTGTTCCAATTTTGAATTTTAGCAGCTAGTAGTTGGGTTGCATTGTGGAATACTTTTATTTAATACAGATGTCTGTATTTTTCATCCGTTGCTTCCTTCATGGTGGGTTCTCAGCTTTTCGACGATTGCTCCTAGTTTGCGGTTGCCTGTGATGACGGGAACTTGGCAAGCTAGCAATCAGCTTAGCAATGAAGGAACTCCTTTTCTTTTAGTTCTTGTCAGTTTTCGGATTGTTGTCGAAATCACAATGCACTTTCTGAACCTTGTCAGTTTCCACTTGGATCTGAATAGCGTAGAAATGTGGAAACTGACATAAGTAGTTGTGGATCTAATTAACAAGCTACGAAAGCTATGAAGTTGAGAGATTAGGAGATTTAGTAGGAAGGTTGGGTCTTTTCCTTTTGTGGGTTTAAATTGCTTCGCTTGTCCACAATTATCCGGGTTATTTATGGATTGAGCGGTAACCAAATTGCAGTTCAACTACACATGTATTGACGAATAATCCTCTTACATTTTCACCCGTTCACAATTGTTTGGGTTATTTTTGGATTAATCGGTATCAAACTGTTGTTCAACTATACCTATTATATTCACCCCTGTTTGACGTTATACATGTGTCCAACGAAAATTAAAAAGAACAACCCAATAAACAATCGATTAGGCCAGATGTCCAAATCACAAGACGACCCATCACATTTTGATTCATGAAGCCGAAACTTACCGACTTCAATAGATTTTCCTCATAACTTTTTTTTTAACAATAGATAGCTTTTATTACCTCAACCAAAACCAGAGAAAAGCACTGTTTACATCACAAGAAATACCAACGATCAAAATCAAAACTCTCCACACTCGCAGGCAACAAAGAAAGGGTCTTTCTGGCCACCTCATGAGCCACCCGATTGTTACTCCTGCCAACAAAAGCAATATCAAACCTCTCAAACCACTGCCGAATCCCACCAATCTCCTCCAAAATTAGATTTTCCTCATAACTAAATCTACATGATCGAGATGTTTTTCTAAATGGGATTATAATTAAAATAGAAACCCTAAAACATCCCACATCCAACTCAAGATAGACATCTTGCTCTCTCTTCTCCCAATTCCTTTCCTATATTAGAGTTAAAACATGAATAAATAATTGGAAACACAAACTGCCAACACATTTTCCAATCAACGAACCACCCTAATTAAGGTATGATCATCATCTAATATATATACTAATATAATCAGGTTCCCACTTAGGCCAAAGTCTTGCTCACAAAACTAAACAAGAAGTAGGCCGAGGTGTCGCTCGACCTCCCTCTTCTCAAGGTTTTTGTTTTTGTTTTAGAAGCACGTCGAGAGGTTGGAAAGCATTGATATCTCACATCAGCTTTGTCTTGTCCTTTTTCAGAACGTAGCTTGAAATCAAGTTGGGGAAGGAAAACTGAAAATGAAAAGTCGCCAAAAAGGTTCCAAGTGGTGTTCTCCCAATGTGTCCCACCTCCAACACGGTTAATTGCACTTCTAGAAAAAGCTTTAAAAAAAAACTTAACATCGCGTATTAGGCGAAGGAAAGAGAGTTTGGTAACAACTTGCAAGCTTTCTTTGTCCCATTCATTTCTTAAATCTATTAGGTCTCTAATGATAATGGTCTCTAGTTGAAATGCTATGTGGGTTGAGTTTATACGATAGACTAGATTGTTTCTAAGCCGCGCTTTGCTGCGGCGGTTAAACATTTTGAAACAATGTTGCTAACCCGTACATTAAATATGCTTAGCGTGTAATTTATCCAACATAAAAATCTCTGTCACACATTTATTGGTATAGTTTTGTCAAGAACTATCCATAAATTACAGAATACTATCATATTATATGTACTTAATCGATCCATAATTTTGTCATTAAGAATTGAGGTAAATACTCCTAGGACTATAAGCCCCTGTTTGTTCTAAAATCCACCTTGCAGGCATAGTTAAACAAATCTAAACATATTTCTCATAGATATCCGCATAAATAATGGCAACACCAATACCAATTCCGTTCAAGTTTTTGGACAGTAAGAAAATAAAATCAATCCTACAAATACATTTGAAACTTCCCAATAATAATCATGCTATGAGACATTTCAGATTATCGTTCCCATTAACTTGCTGATTCAATTTGTTAGAGAAACCCAATAAAATTGGTTAAGTGCCAGGGGAGTGATTGTATTTTGTGAGGAAGATTCAACATGACATGGATCTCCATGCATAACCCAAAATTAACAGGGATCTCCTTTCTATATATGAAGACTCCATCAGTGAGAAACCAAAATCAAAGTCCCCTAAATCCCCTCTATAATAATGAAATCAAATTTCCAGTGTTGACATGCAAAAGTGTTGCTGCTTGGAAGTAAAATTTTGACCAGCAACACTCATATCTAAAAACCCTCACGAGACTATCGGGTTTCTCCTTCCATATCGCAACCAAATACCTTTGGCATAAACCCCTAGTTACTCAATTTATGTCTTCCAACTTTGGTTCTTCTTGGCTCTTGCACGAATGGAATCTGTACCGGATTGGCGCCAATCGCACAAATGGACTATGAATCACAATATGATTTCTCCGCCCATGCGTGAACCTTCTGGTCAGCAGCCTTGAAGAAAGTGATAAACTTCTGATGATTTTGTGACCATTCCAAATTTCCAATGCTTCGGATGAAATTTCGTATCAAAATCGGGAACAATATAGTGATGCCATCGTGATATAGAACATGCAAATGGCGAAAGAAAGAGGAGTGGTCCCAAAATCAGAACAATATACAAAACGGTGGGATGGAAAGCAAGCATCCCAGTGGGAGATAAAAACATACAGATGGTGAAAGAAAAACCATACATGAATGAGGTCGTGGGAGAGCAGAAGAGTTAATCAACTCCACATAAACCAAAAAACATAGAAGAATGCATTAGGTGAGCAACATACTGGCAGAGGGACGCTTTTTTCCAAGTGTTGATGGAGAGCAGATCCCTCAAATGTTAAGCCTCCATTTCTCAACCATGTAGCTATATGTTGCTATTCTGTTGGCTGTCATCAAAGAAAAGAAACCCACAAAACAAATTAGCAAAGCCTTTAAGCAACAGTAACTCATTTATGACTTTAATAATATTCAAGGATATGACTGGACACATATAGGTCATGTGAAATCAAGATTATGCTATGCGTGATTGTCATAAGGTGATTTTGTATTGGCCATATAAATGATTGTTTAGGAAGATATAATTTCGTCTATTCGTAGAAAAATGCTTTGAATGCACAAGCGCACTCCATTATGTTGAGGATTCATTTGTGTTTTTAAATGGTATTTGTTGTTTCTCAGCCTTACGGTTACACAGTACACCACAAATACCAATACTCATATAATACTAAGCGTGAGTCAAATTAGGAATACTCATGTAACTGGATGATTCAAGATAGATTGACTCCGTATAAAATGTGATTGGAAGCAAACATGTACAACATTTCGCTTATCACTGAAATAACAAAGAAAAATCTCTTTAAATTGGAGAAAAAATATTGCAAGATAAATAAATCCAAATTATCTGGAGATTGAGACTCACGATAAGTCGTAGCTACTTTCTTTTACAAACTGAGACTAGTCAAAATATCATAAATAAGAGCAAATATGAGATAAAATTGAGATAGATAGTACAAATCGTGAACATGACCGAAATGGATGCAATAGTGGCTAGTGAGGGAAATAAGACTCATGTCCAGCCACGTTATTCGATAAGCCTGATCACAACTATAATCGCTATAACACCAACAAAAAAAATATGGATTGACCACCGATCATCCATCCATTTCACAAACTTCAGATTATAGATTAAGATAAATTCACCGTGTTTACACATTCCCTTCAATTGCAATTAAAATGTTAATCATGTTAGATGAATTATAATTCAATACATACATTACTTAACAACGTGATATCACGCGTTACATCATTTTAATTACACGACAACAAACCTCCTCCCTCGACCGACCTAAAAACTCCAGAATCTGCTGCCTCTTCGTTTCTATTTATAATTTGAGTTTCCATTCTCATTAGAAAGGAAACTATAATTCAAAGATTCGCAGCGTTAAATTTTGTTAAAAAAAAAATTTCCTCACGCGCCCATTCTGCCGAAATCCGTTTTTCGTCCCACCACAGCATCACATTAATCCTCCCCAATCTCTTTGTCTCTCTGATCTAAAATCACTCTGAATTCTCCTCTCTTCTCTCCCAAACAAACAATTTCCGAGAAGAAGCCTCCGCGGCCATATCCGGCGCCAGCCACCGCCTCTGCATGAACGCCACCTCATTCCCGTCAAAGGCTTGACGTCCTCGGATTCTCTTCCCCCCTCTCTCCATCTCTTTCTCTGCTCTGCCGCTGCTGCTGCTTTCTCTGTCTTCCAATGGCGGTGCTCGACACCCCCGACGATACTCACATAAACCCCGCCGCCACCGCCTCACCGGATCTCAACGGCCTTCGACACCGGCCGGCTGCCGGCGCATCCGACGAGCCTACTCCTTCGTCCGCCGGGGACGCGGTGCCGACCGATGAATCCGGCTCGGAGAAGAAGGTTGCGAATCGGGACGGTCAAGCTGCTAGATCGGATGTCAAATTCACGTACCGTCCTTCCAGGCCCGCTCACGTTGGGGTTAAGGAGAGTCCCCTGAGTTCCGGCGCCATTTTTAAGCAGGTGAGGAGGAGGAAACACTCTTCTTAATTCTGCGACGGATGACGAGCAAATTGGAATTTACGATGTTTCTCGTTGGAAGGAATTAGCGCGTTCTCGTTACGTTCCTTATCGAGCGAGCAGTGGTAGTCTGAACTAGGATTCCTCCATTGGTCAGTAGTAAGGGAGAGAGAACATCAATGTCTTCTGGCAGAGAGCTTCGATTTGCATTTGATTGGCTTTTCCATAAATGCCGTTTACTGTATGCAATATGAATGCCCCCAAGTAGTCTGGCGGGGAGTGCAGGGACGGAACTTGGGAATTGAAATCGTTCATTGGCTTCTCCTTTTCTGGATTCTTAGCTCCTCATTTGCTCGTTTTTGTTCTTAGTTGGTTTGTTTGTTTGTTTGTTTTGTTCTTTCCCCCCGTCAATTCGTCAGAGCCATGCAGGCCTGTTCAACCTCTGTATTGTAGTGCTGGTGGCAGTCAACAGCAGGCTTATTATCGAGAATCTCATGAAGGTTTGTCCAGCTTCTTAATTTCTTTGTTTTGTTTCTCCTTCTACTATGGCTTGATTGAATATCAAGTTGAACTTCACTTTCCCACAGTTCTCTTATAGTTCTCATTTTATGCTCTGGCAGTATGGTTGGTTGATCAGGACTGGATTCTGGTTTAGTTCGAAATCATTGAGAGATTGGCCCCTTTTCATGTGCTGGTAATGTTTCATTTACTTGGATTCCACTTACTGTTACCAATATGTCCTTTAGGTTGGTTAATGTTCCATTTACTTGGATTGCACTTACCTGTTGCTCTTTTCTTTTGGGGATTGAAGGTTAAACGTGTTGGTTAATGTGGGTTTCCCTTTGTTGCAGTCTGTCACTTCCTTTGTTCGCTTTTGCTGCGTATCTCGTTGAAAAATTTGCATACCGGAAATATCTGTCTGAACCAGTAAGTATTCAAGTACTGCCCCTTTTCTGAATAGTAATAGAGCTTATCTGCTCAAATTCCTTCTCGAAAATACCATGTTGAACCCACTGACTAGTAGTGTCAACTTGTCGCTTGATTTTACAGATAGTTGTTTCCCTTCATATACTCATCTCCGTGGCAGCAGTTGTGTACCCTGTTTCAGTGATTCTCAGGTTTGTCTTCGTCTCCTTGCCTTACATGCACCATTGCTTTTTTCATTATTGTGGGAGGTCCATCACCTGTCTGTTAATGTTGTTGAGATATTTCATGAAGATATGTGGTAAGAGAGTTAGATATGCCATATAATATGCAACTAGAGAAAACGAACACACATGTAGCCTGGTTGTTCGTTTTGTTGCCGGGTTATGCAAGATAGAATTGACAGATTGATACAGATCAACTGCTAATACTTGATGATTTCGAGTTTGTCGTCAGTAGGAGATGGTGATTTTCTTAAAGGCAAACCCAACTGTCTCTTTAATATGTCAAATCAATCTATCTGCTCATTGTTAGGACCACAATCGACGTCGAATTGGACGTATTGCTCTCCTTCATCATATTAAGTTGTTCTTCGCTGGTTCCTTTATATTTCTTCTAGAACCATGTTCGTTCTTTACTCATTAACCTGATGCTAGCATTTTCGCTAATTATTAAATCTGTCGGTGTTTTTTTTTCTTTTGCAGTTGTGACTCTGCATTTTTATCCGGTGTGACATTGATGCTTTTTGCATGCATTGTATGGTTGAAATTGGTCTCTTATGCTCATACAAACTACGATATGAGGGCAGTCGCCAAGTCAGTTGAAAAGGTAACAATCTCTTGACCTTCTTTGATTTTCATTTGTATCTGTGACTTCGGTGTAGTCTGAATTATGGCCCTGGTACTCATTACATATCATCACCCATCTCTTGTTGTTCCCCTTTCAACATTAATTTAAGTACAGTCTTGTGTTACTTTATTTAGGTATTAGTATCCTCTGGTATTCCTTAGAAGAAGTAATTGGCATACCCTGCCCGCTTTGTGTGAACAAAGGAAAAGATTAAAAAAATATTTCAAATAGATGTTCTTGTCCTGTTCCAATCCTTTTACACAAATATTCATTTGTGATTGGCCACTTTGATTACAGGGAGAAGCACCTTCTGCTGCTCTCAACGTGGATTATTCTTATGATGTTAACTTCAACAGCTTGGTGTATTTCATGATTGCCCCGACATTATGTTATCAGGTAATCTGTCCTTGACCTGCTAACAGAGTCTGAATTCTTCAGCATTTTAGATTGCTGAGAACTTAAGGTTGACAATTGGTGTATAGAAAAGATATGATGATGCCATGTCTAATACTGGATGGTTCACATCCGTTGCAATAGTACTTAACATACTTGAAAGAAAAATGTATTAATATATTTTCTCTGTCAGTGCACATTTCTAATATCTTTTTTTTTTTGGTGAGAATATTTCTTTTATCTGCGTTGTTCATTATGAACTGCCAAGCTTGAGAGCATCATGTGCTGGTTTTAATTCTAGCGCTGAATTGTGCTTTCCACTACACCATCTATCCTGATACAATTCCTTATGTTCTGATTTGTAATTCTCAGCCAAGTTATCCTCGCACACCATCTATCCGAAAGGGTTGGGTGGTTCGTCAGTTCATCAAGTTAGTGATATTTACTGGTTTAATGGGATTTATAATTGAACAGGTAAGCAGAATCTCAATGTTGAAGTTAGCTTTCTTTCCCTTTTTTTCATTTTCACTCATTTCATACCATGTGGTTGGTTCTGCAGTACATCAATCCTATTATCCAGAACTCAGAGCATCCTTTCAAAGGGAATCTCTTGTATGGAATTGAGAGGGTTTTGAAGCTTTCTGTCCCGAATTTGTATGTGTGGCTGTGCATGTTCTACTGCTTCTTTCATCTGTGGTGAGCTCACTTTTTATGTATTCCCTGGCACTGTAGGTTTTCTTACTTATCAAGTTTCTGATGTTATATGCTCCTTTAGTATCGTGCCCGCTGTGCATTTCATGTGGTCATTTTCTTCTTGCCTTCATCTGAACTGGTTAGTTTGGTGTAATGCATTAAGTCTAAGCCAAGGGTCTGTTTTGGTGACTTCCATATGAATTTTTTTGTCTACTAGCTTGCCAGATTGGAATCAATCAATTCTTAAATCAGAATTTGCTTACGTCATTTTACTTTCTTTATCTTATGGGGTATTTATTTCCTAGAATGAATTTCATATATTTCTTCACCCTTGCATTATCTAAATCTGGACATTATGATAACCTATCAGGGTATCTCCTTTTCAAACATTTGTTAAATAACTTGAGACTGAGAACTATGATATGATTTTCCCTTTTTCTCTTCCCCATGTCCATCTTATTTCAAGTTTCTGATGTTATATGCTCCTTTAGTATCGTGCCCGCTGTGCATTTCATGTGGTCATTTTCTTCTTGCCTTCATCTGAACTGGTTAGTTTGGTGTAATGCATTAAGTCTAAGCCAAGGGTCTGTTTTGGTGACTTCCATATGAATTTTTTTGTCTACTAGCTTGCCAGATTGGAATCAATCAATTCTTAAATCAGAATTTGCTTACGTCATTTTACTTTCTTTATCTTATGGGGTATTTATTTCCTAGAATGAATTTCATATATTTCTTCACCCTTGCATTATCTAAATCTGGACATTATGATAACCTATCAGGGTATCTCCTTTCAAACATTTGTTAAATAACTTGAGACTGAGAACTATGATATGATTTTCCCTTTTTCTCTTCCCCATGTCCATCTTATTTCATGTTTGTAGTAACGTAGACACGAGTTCCTTTATTCAGCTTGGTGGTGATTTTACCATGCATCTTTCTCTTTTACGGTCTCCCTCACTTCTCCCTCAGTAACATCTTGCTACTATGTTGATGCTCTTTTGTTACCCTTACCTCAGTAGAGATCCATGCATTGGCTAAGTCGTTCTTCCTTCCATTGCTGCAAAAATAGGTTGAATATACTTGCAGAGCTCCTGCGTTTCGGTGACCGAGAATTCTATAAAGATTGGTGGAACGCGAAAACTGTTGAAGAGGTGGGGGTTTGCTGTCATTGAAATTAATTCTTTGTTTCTCTTATCGTGCTTCTGATTCTAATTCTGATTCCTTGTGATTGGCAATTTTCCCGGGTTTGCTGCTATCCTCAGTACTGGAGAATGTGGAATATGGTACACCTCTTTACTCAATATTATTTCTGTTAGTCATTGTTGTGCCTCGATTCCTTTAAAGTTTCTATTGAAATTTCGCTCATTGCCTGAGTTTCTCATATTACGATCCGACAAATATGATGCACACGAGAGAGTTTCTCCCTCTTTTTTTCTATTCCAGTCTCCCTCTTCTTTTTCTGGAGTTCATCTGAGCTTGCACCCCTTGTTTCAATCTGAAGTTGTTGGAAATAAGTATTGACTGATTGCTATTGATCACAGCCAGTTCACAAGTGGATGGTTCGCCATATCTATTTCCCATGTCTGCGCCACAAAGTTCCCAAAGTAAGTTTCAATCCTTACCTTTGGAGTAGCATTTCTGTTCATTAGAGTTTCAGATTTCACTAGATAAATATGAACTTTTTGTTCATACGAACTGTTTGCGAAGGCTATATTCTAACTCTGTATATTGTGCAGGGAGTAGCAATATTTATTGCGTTCTTTGTTTCCGCTGCATTTCATGAGGTATAATGAGCATCCTTCCCTTATTTATGCTTTCTGCCCCGATCTCTCCAAGAAAGTCGATTTTTGGTATATCAATAGATTTTGTAATTTATATTGTTACAAGTAAACAGAAGTCGAAATGTAACACATGAGCCTTATCATGTAAGATACAAAATGTAGGATTAGCTTGGTAAGATCATGGGTTGTAGGCATCATTAGAGTTGTGGCGAACATTTACTTTATAAGAGCGTAGATCACCCAACTTGCGTAACTTTCTCTCTTGGTGTCGGGTTGACTACATAATTCCCTGCCTGTCCATCTAGTAGATGGCCCTTGGCCCTCCATCTTCGATATGCCTTTGATCTATAGGCATTGTTTGAACTACTCTGTCCAGTTAGATAATTCCCAGCCTTTCCATTTAGTAGATGGCCCTTGGCCCTCCATGTTCACTTGCCTTTGATCTATATGTTACTTATGTCCATCCTAAGATAAGACATTTGCTCTCCACAGCTGTGCATTGCTGTTCCTTGCCACATCTTCAAGTTCTGGGCGTTTCTTGGAATTATGTTCCAGGTAAGATTGAGCCATGCCAAGACTAAATTCACTTCTGTGCTGATTTGTCCGTGGAGATGCACTTAAAAAGTTCAGAATTGTCAACAGATTTTTAATTGTCAGTCCGCATATAGCATATTGATGCAGTTCCTGACCATATAATTATGCTTGAACATTTTCTTGACAGATCCCACTTGTCTGGCTTACAAACGTTCTTCAGGAGAAGTTCAAGAGCTCGATGGTAACGTCTTAAGCTTCTATTATCCGGATTTTAACAACTTAAATGAGGAACTGCAGACGTTTAGAAGACCCATGCTTGGCTCCTAACGCAACACTTAATCAGATAACTGAAAAATGCATAAGCGGGAATCTTACGTTGTTGTTTGTATTTGTTTTGACCTCTTTGACAGGTGGGGAACATGATATTCTGGTCAATGTTCTGCATATTCGGCCAACCAATGTGTGTGCTTCTCTACTATCACGACCTGATGAACAGGAACGGGAAAGATGGAATCTGAAAGGGAAACACTACTTCGAGCAGAGACTTATTTTTGGCAATCTCCACGCAGTTCCACTTCATCAACTGTTGTTCACATGAGGGAATTATATAGACTCTGCAGCAGCGAAGATGAGGTCATCAGAGAAGTGAAATCGTCGTGCATTCAGGGCACTCTATCAAACATTAGTTATCTACCATGGCCATGTGGGGTGTACTCTTTTCGGACACTGGAAGCGTAGAGGCGATTTCGAAACCCAGCAGAGAGCAGGCACATATAGCTAACGAAGTGCCTGCCGTCAGGGAAAGATGAAAAATCGAAGGTAGTGCAGGAGATATGCGAATTAGTCGTTTTAGCTGGTTGGGGAATTTGTAAATCGAAGGCTATCGAAATGTGTGTTAATGAACTGGACCTCCCACATAATGTTTCTGCAATGTTGTGATCCCTTAGCTAAGTATAAAGAAAAGAATCAATGGAAGTATGGAAAGCAAAGCACTTAGAGATGATCTGGTGGTGGTCCAGATATAACCTGTACCAGAGGCCAAAGCCTCGGCTTTAGCAGACTCAATGCACTGAAGTGTTCGATCATTCTGTCGTAGCAAGGAATCTCGGTTGTCTGTGCTCTTTATCAGTACTTCGGCACGAAACATTGAATTCCTTCTGCCGGTTACCTCGTTCTATCTGTCTACCTCGTCGTATAGGAGATGATCATCGCCAATTGTAGGAGCGATACGATCCAGTATTGATCGTAAGTTCCGAATTCTGGAGATGTCTGTGTTATGGTTCTCGTGTTCTGAATGTGCTCATCTTGAGGTCTTGCTTGCAATGGGGAATCCATCAGTTTTCTTCTGTCCATTTGCGCATCCGTTTTATTCTTTTGTTTTGTTCACATATGCGTCATTTTGTTCACATCCACAATTTCATTTTTTCTTTTGGATGAAATCCACAATTTTCATTTATGTATTATGGATGTTCGCTGTCTGATTTGTACCATATTTAAAGCCTTGTGTCGACACATTGAGTGATGGACAGTGTCCATAGCTTTTTGTACATGAATAGGTAGTTGCTAGTTAGCCATAGCTGCAGCCTGCAGCACTGTTACTTCCTCTTTCTGGATCGCTAAATGCAATCCTAAAATGATTAAACATCATCCTAAATTTAGTATGTGAATTATCGAAGTTTTCATTTTTTAATTCAACACACCAGTCAATCATATTATAAACAATGAAGAAAAAATTAATCGAATTGACATTTGACGGACTCAATCAGACTGAATGCATTGTTATCCTGTCCTTGGTCCTAAGATGTCTTCCATTCTTGGACTGCGATTTTCATGAATTTGGCCCAGTCTGCATCGGACCATTGCCCATCCCTACCCTTTCCCTCTCGTAAAATCGTTGACCCTCTATCCGACGAGTGCCCCAGCGCCGTCAACCCATACCAGTCAAGACTAGAGACTCTGGCGAGCTATTTCAGCTCAAAAATGGCGAATACCGATCACGAGACATCGAATCTAAGGGATGGTTTGATGTCATCGTGGTCAAAGCAAAGTCAAACTTCATTTTGGCTATAATCTCATCCGTGGAGTTATACTCGTTTTTTTTTTCCCCTTCTCTTTCTTCTAATTGTGTTGTGTGATTATAAACATAGTTAGCATTTTGCTAATCACTCCAGAATTAGCATAGTATATCTCATTGATACTATTTCGATGAAATCGGACATCTTATCTATTAGTATAAATCTTGTTGAGGACCACCTTTCTACAATTGGTGATAATCATCTCATTATTAATCACAGTCAATGAGTGTGAAATGATGAATCATATGACATTTCTTCCCTAATCCATGATGGGGTTTTAATGCCATTAAAAATTGCCACCGACGTCGGCTCGGGTGGCAAACCGTATCCCCCTCTCCCCTGCCCGATAGTCAGCGCCCATCTCCCTCAATCAAACCTGAAAATAAGAACAACTAAGGCTAAAATGGAGGAAACACCATCATTAATTAATTACCTGAAATTAAGGGCGTGGAACAATTCGCTCCGGATCAAATCAAACTCATGAAAATCACAATTCAGTAATGAAAAACATTTTTGGAATCAATTTAATCTGTTTTATTTTACTGATATGATCCGATTGAAATATCAATTCGATTCGGTTCGATTTGATATGGTTCTTCAACTCGTCGGTATACGCCTACCCAAAATAATAATTGTTTTTAACTGTAAAGACTAGACAGGTGAAGAAGAAACCAAAGGCCAAACACTCTCCCATTTCCTAAGGACTCTTCTTCCCCTTTTTCCCGTCAAAGCAAAACCTCCATTTTCCATGGCCGCTCCCTGATAAAAACCTCCTCTTTTCTCTCTTCCGCCTAGATAGACTACTGGATTCTTCCTCTACTTCTCCGAAATGGAAGATTACAGATCCAAGTCGTACGCCGACGGACGCTCCTCCCAACTGGACCTCTACCACCACGGCCCGCCACCACCCGCCGCCGCCGGAGGCGGAGGAGGAGCAGGGATGCAAGATCTCAGGTGCTACAGCGCCTCCTACGCGGCGTCATCCGTGTACCCGGCTCAGGCCGGCGGTCAATTCGAGACGAACAGGGACAATCCCAAGTTGAAGAAGGGCAAGTCGGCGAACGGGTCGGTCTCCAAGACGTGGAGCTTCAACGACCCGGAGCTGCAGCGGAAGAAGCGGGTGGCTAGCTACAAGGTGTACACGGTGGAAGGCAAAGTGAAAGGCTCCTTCAAGAAGAGCTTCCGCTGGCTCAAGGATCGCTACACCAGAGTCGTCCATGGCTGGTGGTAGTAGATTCGAAATTCCCAATTGAAAGATTACTTTTCCCTCTCTATCTCTCTACTACTTAATTCTCCTTCTCGATTGTGTCTCTTTGCTGCTGTGTTCACTATACATATATCTCTGTGCGACTGTGTTGTAGCCGTCCGTCCAGTCTGGTCTATTGTTTGTTTGTTTGTCTAAGTTGTTTTTCCACCAAAGGGTATATCAGAGTGTTATCAGAATACACTATAGTTGGAATTCATCAATGGTGTTTGATTTGGTAGACCCGATCAAAGTTGCCCTCTTTCTGTTGTTAGTTTCACAATCTGAGCCTATGGTTTCTGGGTTTTTGTCTGGGAAACTTGGATGATTGTGTATGTTTGGGGTTTGAGGGATTACATGGCTGAATCTGCCGCCGCCGTCACCGCATTTAGCCGAAGCTGAGATGATTGACATATCTGGCAAATTCAACGGTTCTGCAAGTGGAAGGATTCCTTGCTTCCTCGGTTGGATTATTCCCAAGTAAAGCAGAGAGGATAAAGGGTCTTTGGCAGAAAGCGGAAAGGAGGATGGGCGCTGGGGGAAGGAAAAGTAGTGCTACGTAATCAGAGTTGGATGGCGTGATGTGGCCGTAGCCGTGGTGGCTGTTGCGGAAGCACGACACCTTTGTGGATTGGAAATGGTGATGGGCAAAGGAAAGTAGTCGGCGGCGGCGGCAGAGGCAGGTTGCCGGTATTGACCGGTCACTTGTTTCCATTCCATGGTGTTGGTATTGCAGTCGTAATAACATATAGGGGTCGTTTGGATTGAGTATTTGACAAACTTGTTGTTTGGGGCCAATTACCACACAAATACCACATAATATAAAACTTGTTATTTGGTATGTGATATTTGGTCTCAAACTTGTTATTTGGCAAATACTTGCCCCCTCCCAAGTATTTGGCAAACAACACTTTTTGTGTTATTTGGTCTCAAACCTGTTATTTGGCAAAACACTACATCCAAATAACACATCCCACTTTTTGTCAGCCAAACATGTTATTTGGGGCCAAATAACAGATTTTGTGTTATTTGACCTCAAATAACACCTCCAAATACTCAATCCAAACGACCTAATACATTATTTTGATGTTTGATTTGTTGGGACGGAGAAGATCCTTTTAGCAGCTTGTGATTCACACCCTTGAGACCATGAGCCTTGGCTGGAAGCCTGGAGCTGCGTAAGAGAGACTGTGTCTACTGGAGGCTGTGACGAACTGAACTGTTAAACCCTAACTCCGAGTCGAGAGTTCATTTGACACTGGTCGTTGTTTCGTGTTCCCCTGCACTTCTCATGCTTGCGGCCACAGTGAGATAGCGAAAACACACAAGTCTGGATTGAAGATCTCAATCTGATGTTGAAAGCCAAACATTCCATGCCATCACAAGACTGCAGAGGAATAAGTAGAATTGCTTCACAATGACGAACAAACTGGTTAGCGATTTTAGGACGTTGATTAGCGATCTAGAACTTTAACGGCAGACCAACCACCATACCACAGTAGAGTGAAGTGAAATCTTTAACCAATGCTTTAAAATGCCGGGATCAAATTATATGAACAATCCACGAGGATGGTTTAAAAGGGCAAATCTGTATTTGGAACTAGAAGGGCTTACACACAAACACCTGCTGCAGAGAGCAATTCAATCCCCAGAAGAAGCTTTGCCTTTCTATTTCCTGTATGTGCATTTCCCACCGGAAGAAAAAAAAAATCCGGATTTCACCCCTCAAGACTGTTATTCCAACTTCAATAACAAACTCATCACACCCTTCTACCAAACTAAACAAGTCTCTACCCGCTGAGGCACATCATCGGACATCCTCCTGCTTTACAAACAATTTTTGTTTCTCTCCTATCTCGGCTGTGGATTGTTGCCTGCAGAAGACAGAATCTCCCAGTACGGAACTTTGTCATCGCTGTCAATAGTCAGACCTTCAATTCCCTTCAGGGCAGATTCGAAGGGGGTCTTTATCTGAGTTGTTGTATTTCTAGCAGAGGATGATGTACGCCTAGCGGGGTCACCCGACGACCCAACATGAGGGGGGCTTCTTTGACCACTCGAAACTCTCACCAGACCAGCACCTCCACCAGACTCGCTTCTTCCAGCAGCAAACACATCACCATGACTGCCCGAAACAGCAGCTACAGCACGCCTCGATGATCGACCCAAAAAATTGGAGCTTGGTAACTGCATCTCATCATCAACCATAATACCCTGTCAGTTCCTGTCATACAGTCTTTAAATGGATAAGCAACTGAGTGAGAATATGAGAAGCATTTAACCTACAATTGGATCCTTAGTGACAGGAGCATCATTTCCAACCGGACTCTTTTGCTTATTATTAGTATAACTTGCGCTGTTCAGTATTGGTCCAGAGTATCTCCGCCGAGAGGGGTCCATGGATTGGCCAGCTGCAGGGCGTGATTCTTCAGCTGCACATTACATGGGCAAATAGTACAAACTCAAAATCACAACCCTATTCTGATAACCAAATTAGTACAAATGGGCTGCCACTTCTAGAGATTCAATTGATAGTCTTGCGGAGAGTAATAGTACCCCATCGAGATATAGTTATATGAGTAAAGAGGAACGATCAAGGCTATAGTAGATCACAAAGTTCCTTAATCCACAAGGAAACAACAGAAAGTCATGATATGCTAAACAAGCAACAATTTGCAGTACCTGTCTGTCGATCAACACTGGCAATAGGAGGCATTCCAGAACTAGTCCCAACACCTGGGGCCTACGCATAACAATAACCATTTCAAAATGCTGCTCTGCCAGGGACTAACATTAGCAAAAATGAGAAGCTACAACCAAGACTTACAAGTCCACGAACTGGGGGATTAGCCAGCTGTGACTGCTGATACTTCAGTATTGTCCAGTCAAAGACATAATCAAACTGGAAGCCTGTTAAAACATTCATTTCAAAAATACAGTTCAGAACCGAATGAACAAGCTCCATCTTTATCTCGGACACATTTAGAAGGCTAAAAAACAATACATGGGACAGGAAGAGTGGCTATACCTTCACGAATGAAAAGATCACGAAATATTCTTTTCAGGTATGCATAATCTGGCTTATCGTCGAACCGTAATGAACGGCAGTAATGGAAGTAAGAAGCAAATTCACTTGGATATCCCCGACACAAGGCCTGAAGAAGCATTGGATATCAGATTCACCTCATGAACTCAAGCAAAACGCTGTGTGCGAATCTTACCTCAATTGAGGTAGAAACTTTCTTTTCACTAATTTTCTCATACTTCTGTTTCTTTGTTCCTGCTTTTAGTCCCTGCCAAGGAAGGCTACAAGGACAGTGAACAATCAGAACAGGTGCTACCAGGATATAGTATCAGATGCATGACAGCAGGAGTGAGATAGGGGCAATAATTACCTTCCTCTCAGGAAGTACATAAGAACATAACCAAGAGACTCTAGATCATCCCTTCTGCTTTGCTCTGTTTAATACAAGTACCAAAAGGTAAGAAAAAAGAACATAAAAGCAGAAAGTCAAAAAGGACATGAAAGCAGCATAAGTGCATACCAATCCCTAGATGAGTATTCATGCTTGCATATCTAGCAGTGCCAGTCAAACTCTTGTTTTCCCTGCAATTTTTATCATCAGTTGCCATAATCACAATTCAACCAAATTCTACAAAAAGACTAAACAGAACCGGCATTACATACAGCAGCTTCTAGTATCGATTCCACATGAACAAGAAAACGAATGTATATCAATAAACAAAATTACAGACTGTAGTTGCAGATAGCTCAAGCATTCTGCATCTATCAACAAAGCAGCAGAATGGGGAAGAAAACGCTAACCCACAATACTGGTCACATGTAAGAATCTCATTACTATGGCACCATTGAAAGTCCCAGCAATCATCCGATAAAACAAAACAAGTCAATTTAGATCTTCGTAGGTAAAGTAGTGGAAGACCTGTATGGAATGTGCTGATGAGTTGAGCTATCCCGATATTTCTTTGCCAAACCAAAATCAATGATGTAGACCTATAAGAATGCAATGAACAGCTTCATTCCAATTCTTCAATTCAAAAATGAAGAGCTCATAAGAAAGTATTTCAAAGATTATTAAACCTGATTGGCACGTCTTCCGAGACCCATCAGAAAATTGTCTGGCTTGATATCTCGATGTAAGAAGGACTTTGTGTGAACAAATTCTACTCGATTGATCTAACAGCAGGTAACGAACCATATTAGGACAACGTTGTCACCAAATACAGATGCTTGCCGCAAATAAGTAAGATAATGAAGCATACCATCTGATCTGCAAGCATAAGAACAGACTTCAAAGAGAGTTTCCGACTGCAAAAGCTAAATAGGTCTTCGAGACTAGGACCGAGCAAATCCATCACTAGAACATTGTAGTCTCCTTCAACACCAAACCACCTCACATTCGGAATACCAGCTGCGCACCAGACAAAAATAAATAAATAAGCAGAATGGATTAGCACTGAAGCCAGATTTCAGCCATTCACGTGCTTTAGGTGAACATACAGTTTAATATATACACGAGAAAAACAGCCAATGAATAAATTTATATTAGTAAGTATGATTACTTCCTCCCTGCAAGATTCTGTATAACTTGGATTCATATAACAACTGAGGATGCTTTGTCTTCACATTTTCCTGCCCATCATGAAACATCATTGGTCAACATGCAATTTATAAAAATCAATTATAGCATAAATGACAACACATGAAGAGACAAAATTTCAACAGAGCATCACATGATTATTTAGTCTCAAGTACAGATACAGTGCATCCAGATTACTCACTTGTGCTATTGCAATGAAAGAAAAAATCATCTCAGTTCATGGATGCATCTGATAAAAAAGAGTGGCAAGTACTAAAGAAAAAGCGCCAAACTTTTAAATAACAAGATATAAACTCTATGGAGGGGTAAAAATACATTCAGAATATATTTCTAGAAAACATAGACACAAGTTCTAGCACCTGAACAGCCACTAAAGACATGCATTGAGAGGACAGATAACATGGATCCAAATCCCCAACTGATAAACATAATCACAAATTAATCAGATGAAGCTTTCTCAGCACATGCATGGCCTACAGGCAGACCTTCGACACGAGGATCATTTGATCTAGTCAAAGCATGGATGAGGAAAATTCCTATCGACAATAGTATATTGCAAACAATCAACTTACTAAGTTAGCTTGGAATTCAAGACACGGTCTTAGGCGAAAGGGCATAGATAAAGTTTTGAGCTCGTAAAACTGCTTGAACCACAATAGACTACATTCCTCACTATAACGTGTAATAATCTTTAAACCCATGGAAAACTTAGCAATTGGGTGTGGTCAGTTTTTTGCATATCAACCAACTAACCCATATTCCATAGCCAACTATGCCACTACCTCAGATACCTGAATAATGCAATTCCTGCATCCTGCCATTGAATTCTCAACTAGCTCAATGACCCACCAAGTCCAATCAAGCTGAACATAAATGCAACTAGAGTACTTGATTACAACAAAAGATATCACCATTCAAATGCTCCACACTACGATCAGCTTGCACCCATCAACTACTATCAAGCTACAAGACCATTTCATTTCCTAGAGCTTCCAAGTCAGAGGAGTCGCGCCCATAACATTTCCCAGACAGCTTTTGCTCCACCAAAATCTCTTATCAACCAAGATATAGGCAACTCTATTGACAAGTAGACGTAAAACCAACGAACCCAACCGAGATAGAAGTTCCCAAGTCAAAAAGGTTTAAAAAGAACAAAGACATAGCTTACAAATTGAGAACTCAGTTAGTCAGAAACTCACCAGCTTAATTGCAACCTCCTCATTCGTCTGAATATTAGTGCCTGAAAGAACACAACCGAGGTGAATTCACAAGAAGATAAAGCAGACCCAAAATTCAGAAAAAAGGAAAGAGTAAAAGCACAACTTAGAAAAAGCTCAGAAAATTTCACGAACCAAGATAGATCTCTCCGAACGAACCGCTGCCGATCTTACGACCGAGCCGGAACTTATTGCCAACACGGGGCTCCATCGGAGCACAAACGGAGTGGGTCAAAAAGAAGGTACCGAAGAGAAAAATGAAAGAAACCCCCCTAGCTAGAGTAGCGAAACCCTAACCCAACCAGGGGAGGGCAGGCAGCGGCGAGCGAGTAAAGAGAAAAGAATAAGAATACGGGGATATACTAATAACAATATAAGGAAAGCAGTGATGAAGGAAGTGAACACAATATACAGAGAACAATCAACCCGCACCGACAAAAGAAAAGGGTGAGGGCCGATTCGGATAGATCTAACAAAGAGAAGAGCTTCTTCCGCCCACTGTTTTTTAGCGATAGGAGGCAGTAAGTAAAGATAAGAACACCCACTAAAAAAGCTGCTAGGAAGGGAAGGGAGGGTCAGATTTTAATTACAGAAAGGTAAGCATAAATGGGAAGTAAGAGGAAGGGAAGGGAAGAGAAGTAAGGAATTCAGAGAGTTGAGAAGTTGGGGAGAAAGGGAAGAAGAAGAGCCAGTTCCGCCGGAACTGTAATCAGCTGCTGACGGCGGCGGCGGTGACGGCGGAAGAGGGAGTGAGATTGAGGCTGGATTCGCTCCGTCTCTGTGGCAATGGCTGATCCGACGGAAGGAAGGGTGGTGTAGGTGGGTGGGCGCCAGGCGCGCTGTCTGTCTGTGTCTGGAGCTGGCCGCTGGGTCAGGCCGACTTCACCCACCGCTCCCTCCCTTCCTTTTTTCCGCCTTTCTTTTTCTTTTCCTCTTCTTTTTTCTTACCCTTTTCAGTTTTTAGTTTCTACGACATTTAGTGGTGACAAAAATAAAAATATGAGTGGATGCACTTCGAATTCGACCTAATTGAGCAGTCAAAAACTCAAATTTTGCGAATTGTTTAATCGACACGAATAAAATTTAAAATTTAAATGTTATGGGTAATTGATGGACACGATTTCTTTACTATCTAACCTGAACTCGCTCGATTATGAACAGGGAAAAATTATTATCTATTGATAACTTTGAATACCTAAAATCGGGTATGGGTATGGATATGGTTTTGAAATTTTGCATGAATCCTGTATGAGTGTAAGTACGGATTAATCACAAGCTATTTTGTGTATGATAATGATATGCATTATACAGTCCTGATGTGACTCGTTGTCATCTATATTCTTTTTCTGTTATGGGACAATCCAAGTACCACATCGGAAATACAAGGGAATGAACTCTTGTATATTAGTGTCCACAAAGCTCATTAGTACGAGTAGGGGTGTACATGGGTCGGGTGGTTCGGGTTTAACTATTTTAATCACCCGACCCATGCACTACGGTTTGGGAATTATCAAACCCAAACCAACCCAAAAAAATTTAAACCCTACGGTTTGTTTCTAATTGGGTTGAGTCGGGTTGGCGATATTTTTAAATAAAAACCCAACCCAACATAAAATATGCAATTATTATACATCATAAAAATATTTCAAACAAATAAACCGAGGTGAAAGGTATCAAAATTCACAAATGTTGTTTGAATTTTAATAAAATGTGATTTACTTCAACATATGTCTAGTTTTTTTCACGATATTTGTTGAAATAGGCTAAAAAGGTTATAAACAAACGCATCCATAATATGTTATTCTATTGAAATTGTACACAAGAAAAAGGATTACGTGAATCATAACTATGTTCAATTTATGTCTAAACTTTAAGTCGAAGAATGCATTAGATTAGGGAGACCATGATAGAAAAACATGGCAAAATATCTTAATTTTCTCATAAATATTGCTATATACGACATAAATACTTTTTTTAGATACGAACTCATACTAATAGTTGGAACACGGGTTCGGTCGGGTTATACGGGTTGTGTAATCCAAAATCCAAACCTAACCCAAAAGAGGCAGGTTGTACAAAAGAAACCCCTCACCCAACCCAAAACCTTCGTTTTAGCGATAAATACGGGTGGGTTGGGTCGGGTTGGAGTGGGTCAGTTTGCGGGTGTGTTTGGTCACCCCTAAGTACGAGGCCTTTTGGGGAGGACACCCAAGAGTCAAACCGTGCAGGCTTGGCCCAAAGCGGACAATATCGTACTAATTGAGCACCCCCCGATTTTGACAAGATTCCGAGGGCCGCACCGATTTACTCTTGGGTTTCCTCCCAAAAGGCCTCGTACGAATGAGCTTGGTGGACACTAATATACAAGGGTTCATTCCCTTGTATTACCAATGTGGTACTTGGATTGTCTCATAACAATCATCCCCTCAAGCCAACGACCACGAACTTCGTGTACTCACCTTAGCGATTATCTTGATCCGCCTGACACCTTGTATTGATGGGCTTCTCGGTAAAAGGATTTTCCAGACGCAGAACTCTCTTTAATCTGTCAAATCTCACACGGATCTCCCTTGATCCGCCAAACCAAATGTAGCCCAAACGTGGATCTCTCGTGGATCCACCAAACATACGCGAATCTCAAATCCCGAGGCCACCGAATGAGGGTCCACCAAACTGACGTCCGCCGCCCCGGATCTGCCGAACCAGTCTCTGATACCACTTGTCAAACCGGGCTGCTCAATTAGTACGATATTGTCCGCTTTGGGCCAAGCCTACACGATTTTACTCTTGGGTGTCCTCCCCAAAAGGCCTCGTACTAATGAGCTTGGTGGACACTTGGATTGTCCCATAACAATCCTTCCCTTGTATTTCCGATGTGGTACTTGGATTGTCCCATAACAATCCTCCCCTCGAGACAAGGACCTACTAAAAAAAATAATCCACCTTACTTGAAGAAGAAAAAAAACTGTTGGTATCTCCAGCATTTTTGTGATGAAAACATTTGTAATAAAACGTTGTTATTGACAGTGATTAAATCATTTGAACGCTCCGACAAGCTATATTTTCGATAAAAATGACAAGAAGGACGACATTGCATATGAGGGTAAAACGTTTTGGGGCACAATGACAGCACGCATAAATTCCCCCATTTCAATCATCACGGATCGCGTAAACTAAAAACAATTATTTTCATTTTTATTGTTCTTTAATTGACATATCCGCTGTCTCACAGTCAACAGTTAAAATTGACTATCACCTAGGACGAATTTAATGGAGTTGGACGTCTAGTAACCAATGAAATAGAAGATAAAAGTCAGGGATAATTAAACAATAGCATTTTTTGGTGGCAAAGATAATTGGGAGGCAAAGATGATACAAATTGATAAACCCCAAGTGTCCAACCATGCAATTCACTCCCAAAGGCTTCACATGTAAAGTATAAATTTTGGGGATTTTTGTTATAGTTCACAATTACAATGTGACAATCAGGTCCCTAAACTGGGTGATCTGGAAAAAGAACCCCACTATGATAAATAAAGAAATAATAAATTAAACAAGGAAAAGGATTAAGGAACACAAATATGTGTCCCACAACCAAAAGCAAGAGAAATAATTAGAATGCAATGGAAATTAAAAAATAAACTGAATATGAATTTCATGTTAACTCCTATTTCTACCTAGTTGTGTATTTCTTTCCACCTATAATTTAACCTAACTTGCGTGGTAAGACTGAATTAAACGACTATAAAACTCTTCAATTAGCGACAGTAATTGTTGGGGTCCTTGGGCTAGGGAGGCCCATGTAGGAAAGCCTGGGAGAGAGCTTGATCTTCGGGCTGGGCCTGGGAGACGGAATGGGCCCAAAGTTGGCGGGAGCCAGCCTGGGAGACAGGTTGACCTGCTCCAGCGCCCTGAACTGCAGCTGCGTAGGGTAGTCCCGCACGCACCCGATCCGGGGCCCGGCTCCCGTACTCCACTTGCAGGACAGCCGGTTGGCCTTCCCCAAGTCAAACGCCGGCGGCGGCGTGTCCGTCCTGCCTTCTTCTTCTTCCCCCTTCTTGACCGTCGCGGCTACAGTAGTATTTTCTACTGTTGAATTTGCATCGTCCGATGACGGCGGCGGCGACGCGTCTTCTGTTAGTCCAGCCGTTGAATTCGACGGCTGTACCAATCCTCCTTCTCCGTTGACTTTGTACTCGGTGTCATCATCCACGGCGTACCTCTGCAAGTAGAGAATTAAAAAAAAAGGAGGCAAAATCATCAATTTGCTGACACTAAAAGTCGGTGATCACTGTAGTTATAATACTCTAATTTGATCTTAATTTTTATCTGAACTTTCAAATAATACAGTTTCGGTGTAAATTTTGAAAGAAATTGATAGATTTTGATTCGTATTTTAAACAAATTGTCAATATTAATAGTCAAAAACATTTTTTCCTATAAAGATTCAACATTCGTTTGGTACCTTAACATCGGCAAGATCGACATTATGCTCTTGGAGGAAGCTTATGAATTCCCTGAAGTTTTCTTCCGTAGGGTGGTAATGCCCACTGTACGGCCATATTGCCTGTTAAAACAAAAAAAAAAATTATAATTAATTAATCCCAAGCAGATTGTGATTAAATTTATTTACGACACAAAATATTTGACATAGTGCACATAATTCAGTAACATATACTAATACTGACTCGTGGTTATCCATTAAGAAAACAAATCAAAACCAACTACGAAAGAGACGCAGGGGGAAATGGTTGGGAAATTGTGCTACTTTTAAATAATACGCAAAGTCAATTACCTGGAGGACGCCGTGGCGAGCAACGAGGCGGCCGGCGGCAGAGGTGGCGCCGCCGGCGAGGAAGCTGGAGTGCTGGAAAACCCCCTTCTTTTTCTGGCCCACGTACAACACCCTGGAGGTACTAAGCACAAATATCCACTTCGAACCCTCCGTCGTCTCCACCGGCTCGCCGGTGCCTCTGTACACCAACTTCCCTTCTTCCACCGTGACTTCGAATTCCTCCCTCTCTTTCTGAAAAGACGGCACAATTTTCAGTTGATAACTAATCGGCACCATCGATCAGATTCATCGTAAGGAGAGAATATGAAATTTTTTGATGACCGGGTCGGCGACTTACCGGTCCAAGGTACCGGATGCACTGCCGTTGAAGAAGCGACCTCGGACATTTCTCCAGGTTTACTTCTTTGCCGTCTCCGACATCCAACCTAATAAACATTGATCAATTGCACAACAATCAACTCGATGTCCATAAGTAATCCCTCGCCGGAGTCGGCCGGAAATCGGTGAATTGGAGAATCGGCATACCAGTAGAAGAAAGGCTGGCAGCTCTCGCACTTGAACCACAGATCGTAATAGAAGTGGAGGTTGTGACCGTACCGATGCCTCGGATCAATCTGCCGAGAGAAGAAGAAGAAGAAAAAAAAATCCCGATTAGGAACCGCCGGAGGATTTACATTAATGAAAAAACAGAGGAGGAATGGAAAAAAATCTTAAAGTTAGTTTTACCGCTTCGAGCCAGTGCTGCAGGGCGAGCTTCTGGGCCTTGTCGTCCTTCGACAGGCCTTTCCCGACCTTGGCGGCGCGGGTACGGGCCCGGGCCCATCGCGAAACCGCGGTCTCGGGCTTGCGGTCGTCGAAGAAGGAAACAGAGCTCCGCCGGAGCGCGGCGAAATCCAGCGCCTTCCACCACAGCTCCTCCACCACCACCGCGCAATCCGCCAGGTTCCGCCGCGTCCTGTAGCTCTTGTAGAACTTCTGCAGCTTCACCGCCGCGTCCTCCAGCTCGCTCGCCGGCTTCGGGGAGAACATGATCGCCGGCGACGGCAGCGGCGGCGCCTCCGCCACGGCCGATTCGTCATCTCCCCCCTCTGCCTTCTTCTGGAGCTTGATCCTCAGCGGGCGGCAGAGGTTGAGCTTGATGCTGGCGGTTCTGGTGAACTTGGAGGAGACATTGTTGTTGGGCTCTGTTTTGGGGGTGACGGAGAAGTTGTTGT